GGGGGGCAAAATTTATTATGGTTTATAATGACAAATGATACTTTGAATATTACATGTTAATAACTTGATTGGAATTATAACCTTGAATTGACAGTTTGATACTTTGAAAATTTTGAGCCAGCCCTACCCCCAAGGACTGTAGGTGCTAGTTTCAAATCCTTTTTAGTCTGAAATCTGTATGCTAGATATTGAGTAAGGTGGTTTTATTGTTTTTTTTCACTTTGAATAATATTTCTGTTCATGTTAAAAACAAAATCAACTCTCTGTATAAATATATCAGGTGACCGTTAAGGCCCATGGGCCTCTTGTTTCTTAAGCCTTGAGAACTGACAGTAAACCAGACACGTGTATAGATATATTTTATCAGCCTTTCTGAGGTCAATAATTAGCTGGTTTGTCGTCATTTTCTTCAAATTTCCCAATCCTTTATAAGTTCAGTTTATTCCTGGTACAGGATCGGTTATGATCCTGTACACCAGACTCAAAATATAAATATACATTTCATAATACAAGTCTGTACTGTCAGGATTTCAGCCTGACAAGTTTCAAAGTCATGTTTGTTAGCGGTATATTTGTTACTGAAAAGCGTTCTGGTACATTTTAGAGTTTATGCTTTCGTTAATACATGTTTATGTCAAAATGCTCTCTGAAAAAAACAAGAACATAATACAACACATTAAATATTTTGGGTTCTGAACATACTCCAGATTTTCTGAAATGGTGGAGAATTAATTAGTACTCAATTCATGTAGTTACATAAGAGTAAATATTCAGTATTTTAGTAAATGCAAATGTTAAAAAACACAAACTGTTTCTTCATAAAGAATGATTTATTTATTTCCAGCTTTGAATTGTTCATATTGCATTTTTTGCACTTAAAGCAGAGTTTGACATTTAAAAAAAAGCCAATATCTTCACATTTCTAACAATGGAATAATAAACCAACATAACAAAGTGCAATCAATGACTACAAAGCTCTATGGCACCAGCCATAGCTCAATATTTATACCCAAACTTCTTACGGTTATTTTTAATACAAATTTGTGATAATGTAAGTCTGATAAAGGATCATAAAAAACTAGTTAAGTTAGCAGTGAGCTTTGATACACTCAGCCATCCTAATGCTTGGTTTCATTAAATGGACGTAGGAAGTAGGTGTGATACATACTTATGGAGTCTGAAGCTTTTAAAAAACTTGCCCCAAAAAAATCTCAAGTTTTCAGGTGGACCGCAGATGCTAACACAGACACCTTGGGTACATGATTAGCCCATGGTTACTTGTAAACTGAGAGCTAACCAATAATTTTCTGTTACTTACAAACCCTCGATTTATCACTACAGGCTCAGCCATAGTGGTGTCTAGGGATAAACATTTAAGATAAGAGGTTGTTGAAAAAACACTGAATCTATATAATGACGTACAGATGAAGATGGAGCTTGTGTCAGGGTCAGTTTGATGAGAAGTTCTCCAACCTTCCACTGAATTGTCTCCTGATTTACCTGTTTAAGATTTCTGTCACCCTCTATTGGGTATGTTTTCTCTGTCACTGCCTAGGGTATGACAGAATGCAAGAAACTGTACGATGACAATAAACAATAAACAATGACGTCACAATCAGCTTTTGATTGGAGACGTCAATTGTAAATTAAACATTCCAGACTACTGTTGGTGGAGTTGTGACTGAAATAATAGGATGGAGAAATAACCCTCTCCTTCCTTGTGGGTGGAACAGAGAAATCTCTCTCAGGATGGAGATTTACCTGTCAAATCCTCCAGGTAGGGGAGGATTCTATTAATCTTTGATATAGTTTGAAATTGTTTCTTCTAAACTTTTGAAAGATTTAAAAAAAGTGTTAAGGTACATGTATGTACTGTATTTGGAAAAAAATACAATTAATATTTTGCAAACATCTAGTTATTTTGGAACTTAACATCTACAACAAACACTTTTCAAGATAATCTGTAAGCAATAGTGAAGGAATGGGATGCAGAATGAAGAAACGTTTATGTGAAGCACTTACAAAGTGCAGAGCACTTATAGGGTCAAACAGTAAACTGATTGTCTTGTGCCAAACAGTATCATTCCCATAAGCTATTAAACATAAACAAAACTTAACCAAAATACCTTAAAAATCGTACAAATTAATAAAATAAACACAATGAGAGGACATAAAAACAGGTCTTTTCTGTACGGAAATTGGATCACAGAGAAGTTTAGGGTACTCAAGCATCTGTGTTACTTTCAATTCACTAGCAAATCAACAAGTCTCACTTTTTAAATCTTTAATAATTTGAGTATCAAGGACAATGTTTACTAAAACTAAAAAAAATAATACATTTCTGCAGTCAACTTTTAACAATAAGAGAAACACCCTCTCAATCAGCAAATTTGTGAATCATTAAATACAGAGATTTATAACACCTTAGAAGAGGTATTGCCATTGTTCTAGAAGAGGTTATTATGTGGACGTCCAGTCAACTGGACCATTCACTCCATACTTAAGCGTTTTACAGGCAGAATGTATCATCATATTTTTATGAATGTCTATTTTTATGATTCAACTATCTTATTATGCTTTTAATACATCCATCTATAACTATGATCCCTGATCTGAACCCTAGTCTGGCTGTTTACATTTTTTGCATAATACCTAATCAAATATGTGGATGTCTGGACGTCGCATCAAATATATGGATGTCTGGACGTCACATCAAATATATGGATGTCTGGACGTTGCATCAAATATATGGATGTCTGGACGTCGCATCAAATATATGGATGTCTGGATGTCGCATCAAAGAAATAGACATGTCATGAAAATTGTGTACAAGAATGTCCAATGGTAAAAAAGAAAACTTTTGTTTTTGTAAATATTCATGTCTATCATTGGGACTATAAACAAAAAGGTCTTTCAATTTGTTTCCGTTTTGTATAAAATTCATTCTAAAAAAAATCTGCTAGTCCAATCCTCACAAAAACGAAATCGTTAATAAATTTCATGAATTGAATAATTATTTTTTATCCTTCATCATATTTGTTATGCATGTCATATTATATACCGAGACAAAACAGTAAAAACTAATTTGACTTCAAGCCACATGTTTTGCCTATTAATAAAAACGATTTTGACATTTTCATCATGACAATAAAACAGTCAGGAAATATTTCCAAATTTTTAATATTTGAAAAACAAAAATTGCAGGTAGTTTTTACATACAACACACACACATCTTCTACACAGCACCAGTCATCATAATGACACTATCAGCCATTCAAACTTCAATATACTTTGCAAATGACACATCTTCATATATTCATCAGGACGCATAACACAAACTTACAACCGGATTAAAATACTTGTTTCCAGTCATGGTGACCAAAATGTTCCTGCAGGAAAATTTAAAATCTATCTGCACAGACGTTAAAATACTTATTACAAAGTACATGCTCTTTTATATCTTGTTACTGTTGAACAATTTTGACTGTCAAGCAGTACCTGTATTAGCTTATTTAGTAACATTTGAGAAGAAATGTTCACCAATATGTGAATACACCCATATTAAAGCAATAATAAAGTACAAGAACAACGCATTGAAAAGGAATGCCAGGATTTAGGTAGAATTTCAACTAAGTTTATCACTGGCTAGCAATCTACCGGGTATCGTAACTTTAGATATCACAGTCATTTCATTTCACACTCCAACATATAGGGATAAATAAGATAACTAAAGCATTGGATTACAGCTGTAATTATGGCTTAGGCTTACAATTCTACGCTACTGACCTTCACTATCCTTTCATGAATCAAGTGTTGATCCTAACAAAGCAGGCACACTATGTGTTAAACTGTCTTTATGATTAATTTTGGACCAAGAATATTATGCCTGTTTCAGGTGTTTTTTCGGAACAGCTTCTGTAAGAGACAGACCATCAAGAACTGATTCATCTCGGTGCTATTCCAGATCCGACGATATGGAGAGAAGGAACGTGTCATTAACTATTATGTGGATGATGGGATCTAAAATGATTGTTAAAAAAAAATGAAAGTGAGGATCACACAACAGTGCCTCTCTGCACTCTCTCCCCTTCCCATTAGCTCATACCTGGAGTGGTCCTAAATCCAAGCCCCTAGTTAAAATGGATTTATTATTAAAGGTAGTGAAACCTTTAAGGTCACTATTGATGTTGAAGTCAACGACAATAAATCTCATTATTTTTCCAAGGAATTAATATGGTATGTCAGTGGATTACCTATTTGACCTTAAGTGTATACATTGTACATACAATGTGTCAGAAGATTTTTTTAATATAAAAAATGTCTTTTCAAATACATGTATAAAAGTAGACAGTAACATGGATATAAGAATAACAAATACCATTCTGTCAAATCTGTAGACACACCATTTTACAAAACTTAATAAACACAATTATTTGCTTTGATGTCTCAAATAGTAAACAATAAATAATATCTCTTCATCTTATTCTACAATCTCCCCTAAATGTCTCTTCTGGATATCAGCACCACCATCACAAGACCCACCGGCAATGGGGAGATTCTAACTCTTATAAATATTCAACCCTATGTGTTAGCCTTTGTCAATCCTTGTATTTAAGGATTTGAGGTTTCTGGTCCCGTATCGAGGCTGGACCATGCAGTTTTCGTGCTTGCTTGAGGAAGGACATCACCATCTGTTTGACCACCTGGTCGAAGAACATATGAGACATGTTGGAGTACAGCACTGACCGGAATTCAAATGATACCTGGAAAGAAAAATACAGCTACATTTAATTCTCATGGGTCTGTTCAAACCTATATATAACCTTAGAAGATCAAAATGGCGAAATGTGATTTAGCATTCATAACTAATCTCTATAGAATCACTTTAACAAGTTTGACTTCTATCAAATTTCCCCTCTGAAAAAATGCTGGGGTATATTATTTCAAAATATATTTTATCTGTAGTATACGAACACTGTACTTACGGAGAAGTCTAGAGTACATGAGTTGGGATTGCCTGGAATTCCAGGGCCAAACTTCCATACAGTCAAAAGGTGGTTAAAAAGTATGCCGTCAGTACACTCAGACTGCAAAGAAAGAACAGTGGAATTAAATTCAGACTGGATACATTTGTATTAAAATGATTAGTATATATAATCGTTACCAATGGCATTTTTCTATTAGGCATTTTCCAATTAATTTTATAATAGTTTCAGGAATTTGCTTTAACAGTGTAAAAGGAAATCAGACGTAAAGAAATTAATTAAACTTCTTTAAAAATGCATAGCCTTGTGCTAAAATTCAAAACTCTTACCCTTGAGCAGAGATTTCGTTGTCTAAATCACACAGGAGTAATATAATTTATTAGTCTCCATTTCTTTCCAACGGGAGATATAATAATAATAATTATATTTCTAGTCATCTTCATGAGAGAGATGGTTCTCCTATCTTACCCTGACAAGTCGTGGTTTTGCTAGTGTCACTATAGAGTTGTACTTCTCCACGAGAGGAGGAAACCCAATCTCCAGATTACACTTTAACTGGCTGCGGCGTCTGCCAGTCACTGAAGACTTCTTACACCATGGTACAAACTCGGGGTAATGCTCTACTTCTGACACAATCTGGAACATTTGCTCCATTGAGTACCTGAAATAAATTAGTTTCAATGAACTGTGATAAACGCCCAGACAAATATTGAACATATACCCGTTATTTCCATGAAGCAAGACTCATAGTCATATACAAAACTACAAATACCCAGTAGGTCTGGAGCCTATAGCTATCAAGAGAGAGAACTCTTACACATATGACATATAACTGCCACTAAATATGTAGATGCTTTAATTCTTTTGTGGTGCAAGGTAGACAGGTTAATGTCTTAGGTAAACTTTATTATGACAAGTCCAATTTAAAAGTTTAGAAGACAGGAAGGGTATCATTCTTGGTCCCAGGTAAAAATTGTATTATTTATTCTAGTGTAGTTTTCACCTAGAACTGAGAGGATTGAAGTGTGTTATGTGGATTTTATCTCTGGGTTTAGTCAACACTATTGATGCTGCATGAAATAGTTAATATGATACAGAAAAGACAAACGGACAGGAAAAATATCTATAAAATATCTACTAACTAATTAGACTGACACAAACTTAAAGGTCGATACAATACTAATTAACACAAACCCTAAAACTCTCCGCTCTGAGTACTCCTTCTTCGTGTCTGAGACAATGCCTGGTATACTTGGTATGGAGAAGATGTCCCGGTTTTGCTGTAGATGTACTTGTTTAAGTTGTCTATGTGATACCTCCTCTGTGGTGATGATCTGGGGAACTGTGACCAGGCTCCTCTGTGTCTGTACTTGTTGACATGGTGTTTTCGGATGACTGCCAGTTTTATTATATTGTTTATGATGAAAAGTACTTAATAAACGACAGCATCTGAAATAAAAATCAGTTTATGTCTACTGGATCTAATTCAAAACAGATAATTATTTTGCTTTTAATTAGTTAATCAAGGTTTGTTTATGCAGAACTTCCTCTGTTCAATTTTTTTAAATGTTAAAATTAAGAGACAATTTTATTTTAACAAAATCAACACTATAGCAGAAGCTCTGTATGGTAGAAACCATTTCTAGTCAAATATTATACCAATGGATAAGCTCATTGTACAATACCTTCTGATATTTTCTTTTTTATTTCTAATATAAGATTTTGATAATCAATGCTCTTTCTGTGGTTGCAGATTTTGCTACATCAGCATGTATTTAATCATTTTTTAGTTTTTTCCCCATATTGAAACGCATGTATAGATATATTTGACTGATATATATAATATGTCCTTAAATATAATTTTTATGCAACAGAACTGAAATAGGACATCATCAGCAAAGACAACCAACCAATTGCAAGCAACTGATGATGTTACTCAATTGGTTAGAGCCTCAGTGTCTGTCTAAGAGTTTGGAGGTCCCTGATTCGAACCCTAGTCTGGCCGTTTACATTTTCCCTAAAATCCAGTTACTTTTAGCACCCAACTACTATATACACGCAGGAAGGTGACCAGTATACTGTATAGGGCCTGATGTGTTCAAGTAATGAAAGTATTTATTGAGGAATGAATGGCACAGGATTTGGTTTGTCAGGGACATGGTGTATCTCAATGGGTAAGAGCATCTGTCAGAGTTTTAATTGCTCATGAGTTTAAATAATACATATTGTACATCTCATTATTGTCATCATGACAATAGCTTTACTGAGCAATTAATACTCTGTTTTAAAACAAGATTTAACACCAAAATTCTTCTGTCTTCATAATCTGGTCAGGCCGTTTCTTCCTTAATCTTCTTCGCTCTGGGCAATTTTGTGCTTGACTGTTTCACCCTAATCATGTGTTTACTAAGGGTGAAACTTTTTTGGTTTGTTAAGTTGTGTGGATAATACAGTCTCATTTTGTTTTACTTAGTATTCCTATGTCTTTTTTGGCATTAGAATAATTATAGATGCTACAAGATGGACCATATCTCGACAAACCGAACTCCTGAAATTCTTCTGACAACACAATTGTTTGTGAAACATCAAAACAATCTTGGGTGAACTGGATATAGGGCGAAATAGTTGTTTGGGGGAGTAGGGATCCCGGATATCTGTATACATAAACGACAAGCCTACTAATATATGCTGCGGATGAGAAGTGCACAATGCAATTATGTTTTCAAATAATCTGAGTTACCTCCAGCCCTGACACCAGACTTAGACGCTATGACAGATACTTTTATTACTGGTGTACCGTGTGGGGGCCAGACAGCTATCTGTGAACATGTGTAAGTGTGGTGTCAGGGCCAGAGGAAACTCTGGCTTAACTCTGGCTAGAGCTATTAGTCAATCTGAGTGGGGTTTTTTTTTGGACAATCAGTCAGAAACAGCTAGTTTCAGATTTGATTGCGAGGTCAGTGACCGCAGAGACATCGTACGTATTCGGCCTGACTCTGCGTTGCCCATTATTCCCTAGTATATTTGAATGAAACTAAAACGATGCGATAACTCATATTGTTAAATGGAATATAAACATCGCCAATTTTACCTTTCTTTCTTTGATTTGTTGTGATAAGTTAACAAATATCGCTGAAATGGTTCCTTTTGGCGAGCTACATGTCGAATCATTTTGTTCTTACGAGAATATGACGCTTGCGACCTTCACCTTGACACAGATTAAGTTATTTTCCGGATATAAACGGAATGGTGTACATTTTCTTGATGAAACTTTCCTGTCGATCAATTGTTAGTTTACCTTCTAAAAAGATTATAAGTAGTAAGATGTATTATTAATTGATGGTAAATTTTATGTTTGTCTAAAATAAACCATAAAATATATTTCCGGTAAACGTCGTGAGTGATATTATGGGATATATAGTTAAATTGCAAAATGGCGACGCAAGCCACAACAAGGGAAGGTACGTATATGTTTACATATGGATCATAAGCTTGAAATGTAAGTTAAATCATGACAACAACGCAACAATTTGTATAAAATGTTATTTGTAAGGATCATACCAACCACATGGTTCTTATGGACGATTCAATGTCGGAACATTTTCTAATGATTTGTCAGCTATTTTTTCCAAGATCCAATCCATGCATCAACGTACATAGTAAAAACGTTTTAGAACGTGGTATGTACGTCTGAAGCAATCATTTCTGATAGTTAATCAAGAGGCATATATGCTACACTCTTCTGCAGCAGTGACAATGGCATTTTTGGTTTGTTATAATTTTACATGTTAAATGAAGAAACACAAAAGCTCTTGTAGACAAAAATATAGGTTTTTGGAATATGACTGTAGCATGGTCATCATTGACTACAAAAATAAATCACACTTAAAACCAATCTAATTAAAATCAGATCTCTCATTACACTACGTTATGGAGATGATCTCCCTAACGTAGTGTAATGAGAGATCTCACTTAAAACGTACCTTACTCATTGATCAGCTAAACAACATTAACAAGCCCATGTGACCTGCTCAATCACTGCGACTCAGATGACAGGGCTAGCTCTGGGTCTTGATTCAGTTTCGCCAAATTTTAATTATTGTTCCCAACAAGTGCGTGTGATGGCGCGCAATCACGGACCAGTCCCCCCCCCCCCCCCCCCCCCCCCCCCCAAGAAAGACCTCACCCCTTTAATTTTCACTTATCCATCCCATTATATGCATTCTAATGTATCCTATGTATCTTAGACAGGAAATGAATTATTGAAATGAAGAAAATGTTTTATGTTTTATAACCGTAATTTTGCGCGTATAGTGCACACTTTTTTGGGTAACTATTGTCATGTCAAAAAGGGGGTGCGCACTATATGCAGGAACAAGTCATTCTTGGGTTATCGTTCTCGAGTTTCTGGTCCACCATATTGGATTACCTCCCTTCAAATAGTTCTATTTTGAGTTGTCGGTCATATATGATAAGATTGAAGATTAAAATAACAACAAAGAATGAAATGTTTTGGCAACGTAATTTTGACCTTCTCTTAAATGATTAAAATCAGTTATCAGTGGTCATGACTGCCGATTTGGCGACAAACACTAGCTCCGATGCAGTAATTAGCTAACACTCTATCAGTGATTACCGGTTAACAATAGCTCTACTGCAAATTAATTGAAATTACTTGCAGTCGCGATCGAGGGACCGTGTTGTTTTCACTCCTCAACATGTGTCGTGGCGTGAAGCCCCACTGCACTGTTAGAACTACAGACTGATTTGACCGTAAAGGGATTATAAAAATTATGTTTATACTAGAAGCGTGGACATTCAACACATCCCCTTCAAATTTACTCGGAAGAAAATAAATAAGAGCAGAATACACTATTTTTATGATGCCTCATAATATTGAAATAATTCACGAGGTTATCGATCACGTCAACATGACAGTGAGCCGGGGAAAAAGGCACACTAACGGTAAGGCATAGCAGTTTGGTAAAAAAACAAACCAGAACTTACATGGAACGGAGCCTATAATTGAAACACTACATTTTCGTAATTATGAGATGTCGAAACATAAGTTGATCGGCGATTCTCTGGCATCGGAATTAGCTACACTTTCTTCGTATGTTTTCTGCAGGATTCATCAAGCGGTATGGAGGGAGACCTTCATGGGCTTGTTGACTCCAATCAATCAATCGTTAATTAATCGGCGTTATAAACACCAAGCTACCTTTGATGCTACTTTTCCTGTTTGATACCGTTTATTTTTAGGATTTTTTTTCCGAAAAAAGAGAATCATTTAATTTTCATTTTTTATTTTTCAAATCTGACCCCAAAAACGTACCTGCGCACTATACCTGCAAATTTATGGTACTATAAAACGCTAACACTGCAAATAATTTCATTTTTGTAATCCAATCCAATTAAAAAAAAACTTTTCTCCCCCTAACTTACCCTATTATTCTCCACAGAGCCCCCCTCGGAAATAGACAATATAGTGCTAATTGGATAATTGGATATTTTGTTATCGGACGAGGTCGTTGTGTTGACAGGTGACCGTTTTGTAAAAAATAGTTCCAATATTCTGACCTTGCCATTCATCGGAAATGCATTCAGCCGTGACATCGTAGTACACAAGCGGTGTCCGGGGGCTGAATTTACCTGTAACAATTGCTCTAGGAACTGTTCTGAGTGGCATCAGTATTTGACAAAAATTCAAAAAAGTGTGTTTAGGCTGTTTATATTTTACTATTTTGTGAAAAACGGAAAATGGTGATGTATTTCTCAATATAAAATCAGTAGCCCGACAAAAAATAGTACATAGTTGAAACATTAGCCCAAGTCACAGCAAGTGCCAAATATATATTATATCAAAGCAACTTTTAGGAAGTACTAAAACATTTTAAACAAATGTAGCAGAACTGGACTAGGGCGACAATGTAGCTCAATTGGTAGAGCATCCTTCTAGAGTTAATAGGGTCCCGGGTTCGAACCCTAATCAGAATGTGCATTTTTAGCCCACCATCATCTGATGGTGGGCTATTCAAATCACCCTGCATCCGTTGTCCGTCGTCCGTTCGTAAACAATTCTTGTTATTGGTATTTCTCAAGAAGTACCTGAGGGATCTTTCTCAAATTTTATATGCAGGTTCCCCTTGGTCCTTAGCTGTGCAGGGCAACTTTTGAGACTGATCGGATAAACAACATGGCCGACAGGCAGCCATCTTGGATTTTGATAGTGAAAGTTTGTTATCGCTATTTCTCAAGAAGTACCAGAGGGATCTTTCTCAAATTTTATATGTAGGTTCCCCTTGGTCCTTAGCTGTGCAGGGCAACTTTTGAGACTGATCGGATAAACAACATGGCCGACAGGCAGCCATCTTGGATTTTGATAGTGAAAGTTTGTTATCGCTATTTCTCAAGAAGTACCAGAGGGATCTTTCTCAAATTTTATATGTAGGTTCCCCTTGGTCCTTAGCTGTGCAGGGCAACTTTTGAGACTGATCGGATAAACAACATGGCCGACAGGCAGCCATCTTGGATTTTGATAGTGAAAGTTTGTTATCGCTATTTCTCAAGAAGTACCAGAGGGATCTTTCTCAAATTTTATATGTAGGTTCCCCTTGGTCCTTAGCTGTGCAGGGCAACTTTTGAGACTGATCGGATAAACAACATGGCCGACAGGCAGCCATCTTGGATTTTGATAGTGAAAGTTTGTTATCGCTATTTCTCAAGAAGTACCAGAGGGATCTTTCTCAAATTTTATATGTAGGTTCCCCTTGGTCCTTAGCTGTGCAGGGCAACTTTTGAGACTGATCGGATAAACAACATGGCCGACAGGCAGCCATCTTGGATTTTGATAGTGAAAGTTTGTTATCGCTATTTCTCAAGAAGTACCAGAGGGATCTTTCTCAAATTTTATATGTAGGTTCCCCTTGGTCCTTAGCTGTGCAGGGCAACTTTTGAGACTGATCGGATAAACAACATGGCCGACAGGTAGCCATCTTGGATTTTGATAGTGTGGAATTGTTACCGCTATTTCTCCGGAAGAACTAGAGGAATCTTTCTTAAATTTTATATGTAGGTTCCCCTTGGTCGTAGCTGTGCAGGGCAATTTTAGAGACTGATCGGATAAACAACATGGCTGACAGGCAGCCATCTTGGATTTTGATAGTGAAAGTTTGTTATCGCTATTTCTCGAAAGTACAGGAGGGATCTTTCTCAAATTTTAAATGTAGGTTCCCCTTGATCCCTCGTTGTGTATGTTATATTTTGAGACTGATTATAAAAACAAAATGCATTAAAAGAAGAACTAAACAGATCTTTCTCATATTGCAATGATCGATTCTATTTCTTTCACATTAAGTATTGTACTAGTAAATATGTGAAATGACAAACTCACTTTGAAGGTTAGCTTTCATACACATCAGTATTAAGTTTAGATCAAAAGTTACCTCAAGGTGCATTTACTGTTAACATGACTCGATCAAACCGATTAGAGGAAAGAAGAGAAAAGATCGAACTGACAAAGAACTAATGAAGATGGTACAAAGGTGGGCGCCAAGATCCCTCTGGGATCTCTTGTTCCACCTTCTGTTACACAAGTGTCAAACTGACTGGGTATCAAATTCTACCCTGTGGAGGGGTGGGAGGATTTGATGTTGATCCCAAGTAGTATATTTGACATCTTCTAGCAGTTGAAATCGCCTAGTTTGAGTAATCTATAAAAATATGCAGGTAAACAGTTAGAAACTACCACTAGTCCTCAGTTTTAGTTAGATTTCAGCAGACTCCAGAAAAACCTAGTTAATTCTCTTACCTACTAGAGTAGTTAGCCCTTAAAGGCTTTGGACTTGTGAAGGTTTTGCATAAAACAGAACAATTTTACTGAAGTGATAAGAACTTTATAAATATTTATATTACAGTATGAGGGTTATAAATGTCCATTAAAGATAGTAACTATTTTACTGTCCATTAAGTCTGAGACTAGTTGCATCGACACACAAGAAGAACAACAAACAATCCATGCAGCTAGTCCTCAAATTTTACTTACTTTGTATATATGTAACATTTTCTTTATTTTGTTTTTGCAGAAATTGAAGAACAAGTACGAAATTTACAAAATAAAACAAAAAATTTGACAGCTGCCAATCAACCCCCAGCAGAAGATGATGAAGAATCCAGATTGGGTTTAGGAGAGCTTGCACAAGATGATTACATCTATACGACAGACAAACACAAATTTGCTGGATATGATTTATCAATTGCAGCTAATGAGGAACCTGATGTGAGCAAGCTAATTAATTGTTTATCAACTTACTTTGGTACCAGAACATTTCAGAACTTTAATCTGTGATGTTTTGGTACTAACAGGAAACATTTTGGTATTATACTTGATAACTTGTTGTTATAGATAAAAATTGATGCATCTTGTAGGAAAACTATGTCTATACTTTGAAACACTTTTCTTAAACAGACTGCAGGATGCAATATTGATAAAACTGTTTTCCCGCTCAAATTCCAATTTTGTGCTCAATTCAGTTCCTAATTTAAATGAATATAATGAAGTACCATGAAGGCAGACATTATAAATGTACATGTTGATAGTACCTAGCTTAAACATAGCTAGCTAAGTACCATGCTCATGTCAATGCAAGGGATCAATGATTTGAGCACATTACTTGTGATTTCAGAGCAATGACCCTTGGGGGAATTATTTGATTTTCATTTAATTTAAAAAACTTACTGCATATACTTAAATAATAATTACCTGTCCTAGTTCCATTTTGACCAAAATCTGTAAAACAGCATGGGTCCCAGTGGGGTCTGGGGACACATCAACTGCTGTTGAATTCTTGTTGTAACAGAAAGTACACTTTTTAGATACACATCTCCCCCTAATCATTTGATAAGTTCAATAATGCCAAGAAAACCTTATGCAAAGGAAGAATGCTTATGTAGTTATTTTATTTTTCTCTATTGTAGGAAGATATTGAAGATGCAGTTGTTCCAGGGAAGTCGAGATCAACATATACAGCCCCTCTCAACTTGCTTAACGACACACTGAATGACAAAGTAAGTATGGCAAAATGTGTTGTTAAAAAAGCAACTGTTAAGAACTATTGCTTTATGTTAAGTATTCTATTAGGCATATCCGGCCAGTGGCTCAAGATAGGATTTATAGCACAGTTTAACATGTTATGTATTTTTGGTCAATTTCTGCAGGTCAAGTTTTTCATGTTTTCTAGTAAAAGAAAAAAATAGACATTAAACTAGAAACAGTGCAATTTGTTTGTCGCTAACATGACAAAAAGATGTCATTTTTATTGACATCATTAGACGACTTATATGTTACTAAGCTACTGTGCATTAGCAACCAAATGTACATGTAGTATAAATGTTAATGTGTCATGGAAACCATGAAATTTAATTTTGTTTAATAACTTGGGTATTAATCTGAAGTACTATCAAATTGGAAATAAAAATAATATGCATGTATGTATTACTAGAAATATCTTTCAAACATACATGTATCAAGTCAGCCCACATCTTGATAAATAGACATATGTCTTGATATGAAAGTGATATATATTGTTGTTGTATGCACTTCATGTTTGGTTCATAAATGAATATAGACAGGAATTATCTTGTAAATATGAGTTAATTTAACGAGCTTCAATAAAGGTCCTTGTGACTTTCTTTAAAGCAGATAAATTGATTTTATTGCCTGATTCTGATTCCTGATTTTGTGTTTTTCTGTACTTTCAGGACTATGATCCTTTGGCAGATAGACGCCCACAAAGAGTTTCAGACAAAGGAGGCAACTATCGACCCCACCTTCAGTCTCGAATCATCTCCCCAGAGCGATATGACCCTTTTGCAAACGGTTAGTATCATTGCTTCATACTTAATCATTTTTAACATTGATAGTTTACCTTACTACATTATTTGCCAGACAGCAAGACATTTGAACACATTTTTGTACAATGGATCAATATATAAAATAGTTTTCTAATACTAGTTAAATAATTGTTATTTAACAAACAATTTTATTAGAAAAAATTGCAGTTCAAACGAAAATATTGTTCAGCTGTCTTGTTGTCTTTCTGACCTACGGGAGGGGTTTTATCATTCTTTGCGGATATTACCTGTTGAATTGGTTTGACTGCACAAGAACACAGAGACAAATTATTACTGGAGATGTGTGAATGCAAAGTGTGTTATCAAGTACATATATACATTTTGTTACGCGATAACCATATTTAGCATTAACTCGGAGCCATTACTTGGTTCCAATTTGCATTTTTTAATGCACTTGTAATAATATATTTCTCATTTGTTGTTTTAGGTTGTACGAAAAAGAAAAAAAATAATAAAACAATTAGATGTCAGAATGATCACAACTTACACAGTGATGCAGACATTGGTCATTAAGCTGATTTAAGGCCGTTTTGTTAAAATTGCTTCTATTTTATTCAGATGACGATTATTAAAGGTTTCATTACTGTCCTTCCTCCTTTTTCGTAGTTTGGTTTTTAACCAATGGTTTTAAAGTGAGAAAAATACAGCAGGTTAAAGGCGTGTTGACAAGAAAAAGAAGACAGAGAATTAGACTCTGCTTCTGGCATTCAATACAAAGGTACAACAAAGAGGAATTATTCTTAAGTAAAGGAAAAGACAAACATGAATATGATTTTTGATAAATCAGCCGGAGACATCAGTTTAGGGAACACAAACAGGAACCATGGAAATATAAATTGTTGGATTTTGGTAAACTTTAAATATGCTTTTAAATGTTAGTATGTTATATACTGCATATGCCTAGTGGAATGAATGCTTTGCTTGTTTAAGAAGGGGACAACAATATTTCAAAACATGTATCGGATATTGATTAGTGTTGTGAAGAAATCAAGTCAACCCGATGCTAATAAGAATTATCTTTCCTTTCTAGCACCCAGAATTCGTTTGGAGAGATTTCAGCAGAGCAAGACAACAACTTGAGGTTTCACACCTCCTAGATTAACATATAGTTCATGTAATTATTTCAAGTCTGAAAACAATTAACTTTATAAATAACTGAAAAGATTACACCTGAAAATCCAGGAAATATTTCAAAATATTTACGCTGGTACATTACATATGTATAGAAGTTGAAATATCAAGAATCAATTCCTTGGCATAAATATAAATCTGCATGCTATGATAATTGATGGATTTAGGATGGCCAATGCACTAGGTCTTTGAAACAAAAGTTGTTTACCACACATGGAACCCAGTTTCCTTTCAGAGGTTCAATACTTCTAAAACTAGGTCTGTATAACCATGCATTGTGTTTTCTTTTTTTCTCTGGGTTGTGTAGAATTACATTTAATATGCAGACTAATTTTAGGCAAGTGATGATGAGGGACAAGACCTTGGTCATACCCATGAAGATGGATGCGTACGTATATTAATTAAGGTTGATGACACATTTGATGAGTCAGGTACACAAAGTGTCACAGTGAGTTTTTGTCTGAAGATCTTCAATCAGCATTGTCCTGTTAATTCTGATGTTGAACCAATCTGTAAGTTTTAAACTGAAGTTAGTTGAAATTTCTTGTTAAACATGGAATTGTAAAGAAAAAGATAATTGAAGTCTTTAAAAAAAAATATCATTATCAAATTCATATTTCAGATCTATCAGGCCAAAAAATAAATATGTCTGTTTAGGGTTCAGACCACCCCTAGCTTTTTACCCCTGACCCAAAACTTTTTGATGAAAAACAAACAAACACCCCCCACCCCCAAAAAAAACCCACTGATTTTCGAATTTTAGAAGGTTCCTTGCCTTTCAAAATGGCTTCAAAATGGCTTCTAGCTCTGTGTTGGTGCTAAATTACAGCATATGGAGCATAATTTGCCTCCAAATGAATCTTGTTTATGTAATTCTTTGTTTTACATACAATAGTAGGGTCATAATCACATGACCACACGGTACACAAAAATATACCAGAAAAAAAGCAAAAAAAAAGCGACCTACCTACCCTTGTTTTTTTGGCCCATGTAACCTTAAACAGACTATTTTTTTGTTTTGGCCTCAGATTTTTAAAAAAAAATGCTAACCTTTTAAAGGCTAAAATAGTTTACAGTATTTTGGACATCTATAACAATCTCAGACAAATGAATATTCTTCAGACAAAAATATAAAACATTATCCTGTTGTTCAAGAGTGGAAGACCAGAGAATTGGTATGGGAAATGTAAATTAAAGAATTCTATTGTTCTTTACAGTCTAATCGAATTCCACAAACATCAGGATCTTGTTTCACTGCAATGAATTTCAATTACACTGAATAAATAGAGAACAAATGATTTGACATCACTAATATTTTGTAATCGTGTCACGGCATGTGTCGTGACCTGTCTGCTTTATATTTACAGGAGGAGAAACCCCAGACGTTAATGCCTACACCTACGCCAAAGTTAGAGCCTCACAACTTTTAGACAATGAAAAGGTAAATTGTTAGTGGCAGTGAGTTGGAGTGTTGCTACATTGTAAACTTGTACAATGGCAATCAGTTTGATTTTTAAAAAAAATCCCATGAAAAATTTAACATCCAAAAAAATACTGTAATTACAATAATTCATATTGTATATCACTTTTCTGATTGTTAAGTTTTGAATTTGCTACTATGCATATTATTTGTTAATTCAGAAAATGAATATTTGGTTAAGCTTCTGCACAGTCAAAATGTTTTATCAAATATTGATTGAGAAATCCAAACTAATATGAAAATCACAACCTATTCCCTAACGTCAATCATTTGGTATATATCTCCCACACAGTATAATGATGTTTTGTCATTAAACTTTTCCTACTGTCCCACCATATCTTCTGTAAACAATGTTATACTGACTGTATCAATGGATAGGTGCTCACTTGTTTGTTTTTTTCTAATGTAACTGATGACTTTGGTATGATGGAATTTGAATGTGGTTTTTGGACATACATTGACAATAATCTTTTCTTGTTTTTCCTGCAGAAACGGCTTCACCAGCAGATGGTGGAGAAGGCTAAGTCAGGTGAGCTGCGAGTACAGAATGGATCCAGTGGTGACAGTGGAGCCAAAGTACAGCAGGCAGCGCCACAGGAAAAGAAGAAACGGCGATGGGATCAAGCTTCAGATGATACACCAGCCAAGAAATCCAAGAGTACATGGGACAAGGAGGAGGCAACAACCCCATCAAACAGTCGCTGGGATGAGACCCCAGGCCGTGCCAAGGGGGCAGACACGCCTGGTGCCACTCCAGGACAGAGTACAAGAATGTGGGATGCTACACCTGGACATGCTACTCCTGGTGCTGTTACCCCAGGGCGGGGAGACAGTACCCCAGGGCACCAGGCAACACCCAGCTCACGGAAAAACAGATGGGACGAAACTCCTCGCACAGAAAGGGGTAAGTCATTGCTTCTTTTCTGTTATAAAAGTTATGAAAAGAGGTCAGTGTATTAAAAGATAAAAGAGGTGAAATACAATTTGATTAGTCCCAAGTACTATTGGACAGGAGCAGAGATTGCACCCAGTCAATGTGTAACTTTGTCCAGGGCACATCTACAGAGATTAAAATCTTTCTCCCACTTTCAGTCTTTTGTTCATAATACTTTGCCGTATTTAGATATAATTTGTTACCTCTCTATGGTCATCGGGAGAATTGCTGTATATCAGGAGCCTTTTTCCCAGTTAAATATTCAACTTTTATTGAGGAAATCCATGTTTGCCCAGTGTTTATTTGCCCTTAACATGTAATTACTGTATATTGTATGTTGTGTACTAATATTACGTAATATTTGCTGTCATGATAAATTTGACAACATTTTAGAGGGCAAAAAAGCGAAAGTTAACTGTAGCGAACATTTCCCAGTATACAACAGAATTTCTTTGGCTTTAGTTTTGAAAGGGAAATATTTGAGTAAATTGTGATTTATATTTTGGAGAAAGAAGCTTGTAATTTCATCTAGGACTGTAATTTCACATAGGAAACATTTTGAGAATAAATAATGGTTCTTTTTAAGGGAATTAGTTATGCATTCTTTTTTGATTTGGTTGCAGAAACACCGGGACATGGGAGTGGTTGGGCTGAGACCCCCAAAACTGACAGAGGTGGGGATCTGATACAGGATACCCCGACACCAGGGGCTAGCAAAAGAAGGTCACGTTGGGACGAGACCCCTGGGGCTACACCCGCTGGTAACATGACACCAGGGAACATGACCCCAAGTATGACACCTGCAGGACATACGCCAGGGGGCTCAACTCCAGTTGCCTTCACTCCTGGGGGAGGGACGCCTGGAGGATCAACACCAAGTGGTTTCACTCCCACAGGGAAGACACCCACAGGACAGAAGGCAATGGCAATGGCCACCCCTACACCGGGGCATCTGATGTCCATGACACCGGAACAGCTTCAGGCCTACACCTGGCAGAAAGAGATAGATGAGAGGAACAGGCCTTTGTCTGATGATGAACTGGACACCATGTTCCCAACAGGTTACAAGGTGATATAACATTTGCAGATGTCATTGTTTTTATATATTAGGCCAGACAAAAAATATACGTTTCTTGTAACATGTTGGAAAATTTAGGGTAGGTAGGTATTAACAAGTCATATCTTAACAAGTACTTTTATATAGGAGAGTGATCTTGACTTTAACACTGCTTCTTTGAAAGTTGTCTTATAAATAAAGTTTAGGGTAGGCATAAAAATCAGGATGGTTAGGGTTACCAGAAACACAAAATATTTCTTGTTTTGGTCTTCTCATAACAGAAATATTATGTCTTTTCCTTAAACAATTGCATTTTAAATTTTTTAAAAACTGACTTAAGCACAATGATGAAGAAGATATTGTTGTAAATTTCTCATTCAGTTGTCAACAGAAAAAAAAAAAAATAGTATTGTGTAGAAACTATTCAAGGGTTTTGAAAAGTGAAGATACTGAATATAGTTTGTGAGTTTAAAATCATATTGTGTTCTTATACTGGAGCATACTTAATAATAACATTTAAAGAAATCTAAAATTGTATTACTTGACGATCATTAGGTGTTACAACCACCTGCGGGTTACATCCCGATCAGGACCCCTGCACGGAAACTGATTGCCACACCAACTCCCATGGCGGGAACCCCACAGGGATTCAGAATGCAGACCCCAGATAGTAAGGGTGTCCAGGTGGTGGATATGCAGCCAAAGGGAAACCTCCCAATGATGAAACCTGATGACATGCAGTATTTCGACAAATTACTGGTAAGTTATACAGAAACATTGTCAGATGTTTTGATTGCTTCAAATAACTTTTCAAAAAAAGAGCATTTTGTGACCCAAAATTTGTCTTTAGATAAATCTTAAATGGTCATCATCTGGTACTGATGCCATTCAAACATTAGAATCTCTAAAGTTTTTATCCAGACTTTTTAATTTAAATGATAAATAAATATTGTCTTGCTTTCTCTAGAGAAAGAACTGTCAGGAGCCAAGTCTTTGGAAGAAGCTAGCATTAGCGCAGAGTAACTCCACCCACAAGCAGTGTTTAGATATAATCACTTGTAGTAGCCATGCTCGAGATTAGACTTTTTATCATTAGAAGGGTTATTGTACTTATCTGATTGCTATTTTTCTTCTCGTTTGACTTGCTGATTCTGTTGCAGCATTTTGACAATGAGTCAAACACTAAAAGTATTGAAGAAGAAAAACAGAAATATACTCTAGGGGTGGGGAAATTCAACATAATTTTGTAAGAAAAGAAATACCTAAGGTTGGATTCTAGAATGAAAATTTCTGTTTGATGTGTGTTGATGCGGTGGATAAAAACTGGCTAATTACACAGTAATTTGATTTCTCTCTTCAGGTTGAAGTTGATGAGGAAACACTCTCTCCAGAAGAACAGAAAGAAAGGAAAATTATGAAGCTCCTTTTGAAAATTAAGAATGGTACTCCTCCAATGAGAAAGGTAAAGTAGTGTCTTGGAATCATCTAAGATCAAGACAGATTGCATCCTTTTAATGGTATTACTAGACAAACAATATAGAAGCTTTATACTTCTCAATCTTCATGTTGCCAGTTTCTGGTCTCTTGTTGAAAGTTATCAATTTTCACATATTTATGAAAGAAATAATTGTATAACTGTTGAAAGATTATAATGATTAGATTATAATGCTGAACGAAGGTTTTATTTGAGAAATGTGCTATGGGAAATAAAAAAATAACTCGTATGTGATAATCTGGGAAAAAATCATCAGTGAATTATTAACTTTTCACCTCAATGCAAAAAAGACGACATGAAATAGAAGATGTATGCAGTGTTTAATTTACGAGATGCATCAAATTTCTATTCTTTGCAGGCTGCCTTGAGACAAGTCACTGACAAGGCTCGCGAGTTTGGGGCAGGACCCCTGTTCAATCAGATCTTACCTCTCCTGATGTCGCCCACACTAGAGGATCAGGAGCGACATTTGTTGGTCAAGGTCATTGACCGCATCTTGTACAAACTGGATGATTTGGTACGGCCGTATGTCCACAAAATCCTGGTCGTCATTGAACCCCTACTCATTGATGAGGATTACTATGCTCGAGTGGAAGGCAGAGAAATCATTTCTAACTTAGCCAAGGTAGGACAAAATAAAGTGAAAGCTGAAATCGGAAGTAATTGAAAACTTTTGAACCTGTATTTTTCTGAAGTTTGAATTATAACATAATAATTCTGCAATTTGAACTTGAGCTCAATGCAAGACATAATTTACAAAGGACGATTCCAGAAATGATTAATGGGGAGGAAGGGGGGGCACTTTTTTTGGATCCCCATGATCGTTTTTTCTTTGGCCCCACTATATAATTGATTTTAACTCAAAACCCGACCACTCATATATTATCAATAAGTGCTGTGCCTCATGTCCCCCCACTCCAATATATATATGGAAAAGTACAGAGAAAATTTCTTCTACCAAATTACGATGTCAAAAGCCCAAGTCTTAAAATAGTCACTACTCCATTCCTAGGCTCTGCTATGACAACATGAAATGGTTACAGTAGTTTGATTGTGAGTGTACTTTGTCGTTTTTAGGCGGCAGGTCTTGCAACCATGATCTCAACCATGAGACCAGATATAGACAACATGGACGAGTATGTGCGTAACACAACAGCGCGAGCCTTCGCCGTGGTTGCCTCTGCCCTGGGCATCCCCTCCCTACTCCCCTTCCTTAAAGCTGTGTGTAAGAGCAAGAAGAGCTGGCAGGCTAGGCATACAGGCATCAAGATTGTACAGCAGATCGCAATCCTTATGGGTTGTGCCATTCTGCCCCATCTCAAAAACTTGGTGGAAATCATTGAACATGGTGAGTCCAGTTATTTCACGAGTAGATCTCATATTTTTTTTTTATAAAAAGTAACAATAATAATGCCACTAGTCATTTTGTTGTCATGATATGTTCTAGTTTGTCTCTAACTGAATTTCTTTATCGTATAATTGAATTTCTTTAAACTTAACTTAAAGTTTTGTATGTTTTTAAGAATTGTTCATGGCTTTGTATCTTGTTTGTCTTTGCTGTAAACCTATCTGTAGTTAAAGCTGTTAATGGGTTCTTTGGTGATCCCTATGACAATGATCATATTTTAAATATTTCTGGTGTATTAAGATTTCTGACTGCATTATAGGTCTGGTTGATGAACAACAAAAGGTACGAACTATCACAGCCTTGGCGCTAGCTGCTTTGGCCGAAGCAGCCACTCCCTATGGCATTGAGTCCTTTGACAGTGTCCTCAAACCCCTCTGGAAGGGTATCCGACAACACAGAGGAAAGGTAAATTAGTCTGTTACCTGATGGGTCAGTCTCTAAGATATAAACATACAGTTTAAGTCTTTTAAATAAAACACAGGAAAACTTGGTGGTCAGTTGTTATAATATTATAGTTTTAACCAGATATAGGAAACATTGCTTTAAAATGTAATATTATGGCTAATAGTGATAAATAAAGATTGAATGGTCAATTTGTGGGTGTTAATTAAAGTTCATAGGCCAGCATGAATGTAGAGAGATGGTATATTTTTTACAGTACATAAAATTTCAAGGTGAAATATGCTGAGAATTTTAATGTGGAACCTGTTGAAAATTCCTGCAAATTTCATAAAGTTATATTTTGAAAATTGATATACAATCAATGGCTAACTTATCTTCCATTTAATGTAGCAAATAATTCAGATGACTCCGTTAAGCAGGGGCAGCGGTGGTTAAGGTTTCTGACAGTCTGCTACCACTAGTCCTCCACCACTGGGTCACAGGTTTAAGACCTACGTGGGGCAGTGGCCAAGTACTGGCTATCGGTCAGTGGTATTTTTCCGGGAACTCCGGCTTTCCTCTACCACCAAAACCTGGCACATCTTTAAATGACCATAGCTGTTAATAGGACGAAAAACACAAACAAACCAAACCTTTTAAATTAACAAGATATCCATTATGACGATTATATATGTATTTGTAGGGTCTGGCAGCTTTCCTCAAGGCCATTGGTTATCTGATTCCCCTAATGGACGCAGAGTATGCCAACTACTACACCCGTGAAGTGATGTTGATCTTGATCCGAGAATTCCAGTCACCCGATGAGGAAATGAAGAAAATCGTGTTGAAGGTGGTGAAACAGTGTTGTGCCACAGATGGTGTGGAACCCCAGTATATCAAGGAGGAGATCCTGCCCCCATTCTTCAAACACTTCTGGAATCAGAGGATGGCACTTGACAGACGAAACTACAGACAAGTATGAATTTGAATTTCTTCAATAAAGTTGACAAAAAGACAATTATTGGGAATCTACTTTTCCCCAGAGTTTTTTCAGAATTTAAGTGGGGTTCATGGTATGTTGATATATTCAATTATTATAATCAAGTTAATTTTCGTTTGTTTATAAAACTATTCAAAACACAATTTTTGTATGAATGATTATTTTATACTAAAAAGGATGGTTCAGGTTGATAATATTTGAAAAGTGATGTCAAATGGTCCGTTTTGTTTTCAAGCTGGTAGATACAACAGTTGAAATAGCCAACAAGGTTGGAGCCGCCGAGATCATCGGGCGTGTGGTGGATGACTTGAAAGACGAGGCAGAACAGTATCGTAAGATGGTGATGGAGACCATAGAGAAGATCATGGGAAATCTTGGAGCAGCTGACATCGACTCACGGTTGGAAGAGCAGCTTATTGATGGAATTCTGTATGCCTTCCAGGAACAGACCACTGAGGTGCGTCCACGTGTCCCGATACTTACCAGAATGTATGCCAAACGATACTGCTGGGTCTGCTATACATGATAGAAAAAGGCTAGGGCTGTTCCAGAATTAACCGTAGGGAGGGGTTGCAGGCACTTTTTCAGAGACCCCGCCACCCATAAAATCTTAAAAGTGATTTAATATAAGGAACGTAGGCAAATCTGGTTATAACCCCACTGCCCATAATTTATTACTAGTAATACACTTGCCTCCCACCTCTCTACACAATGAATTATGGAACAACCCTTATAAAAAGCAGGCTGCAATTAAGTAGTATAATTTGGTATTGATGAAATCTTGTATTGCCACAACCCCTTGTTGGAGGCTATAAAAAAAAAAAGTGTTATTCCGTATTTAGAATGCAACCAGCCCTATTGGCCATGGGGTCCAGGATATTTCATAGCATGTGAATCCAGGTGTGTTGATAGGTAGGGGTTTGATTCCAGACATTTTGAGCAAATTTTATCAGACATGTTAACAATTTCTAAAATAATTGTTTAATATTTTATATCTCTGGGCAACACTGTGTAAAGTTTTATTTTTATTTTTCACAATTAGAGATGTATGTGAAATAAGACAAAACGTAAGAATGAAAAGAGATCCACTTTCAGGAAATTGTCAATATTCTTAAATAAATGTTGAAAATATATATATTTGGAAAGGTTGTATAGGATTACATATTTGGTCTTAAGTTTAACAGTTAGGACACCTAGGCATAACCCCAGAAATTTAAAGTTATAAGATTCAAAAGCCTATTTTGTAGCAAAGCAATTGCAAAAGAAATGGAATTTGGAAAACGAATTTGTAAGAAAAACGGGGAAAACCCTTTTTGACATCATTTAAAATTGATTAACTTCCAAAAAATAACTTTTAGGACCCCTTAAATTAGGGGGGAACGTTTTTGCATTTCAGATTTTAGCAATAATTTTTTCATAGCATTATAAAAACTTGTGAACTGCTGACAGCTGAATGTTTTTTATGAGAACAATATTTCAGATTTGTCACTATTTTATGCATGTGTCAATTTGCTACAAAGTGACAGTGAGGTTGCATTAGCTGCATGAACAAGCAAGTAAGTTCCTAATTGTATGCTGTATATTTCACTCTGGAAATCTATGAAGTTTGAACTGTTTTTGTCTTTGTGTTATAAATAATGACAAGTTAGTTGTGTGATTTTATAACTTGTTGATATCTTTCAGAAATGTTTGTAAAAAGGAATTGGTAAAATTCCTGAAAGTGTAATAGAATCGTGTGTAGATTTTTGGAAAAAGTCTGCTATAAAACTCATGTATTGTAAAAATATATAAGAGAGAGGGAAATATGTTTCTTAATTATCCATACATGTATCTGGAAACAATTATAATTCAGTGTTACAAGTGAATATTTTTGGATGTTGGGCATATGTCATTTGGCACTTTAATGTATTCTTGTTAAATAATTCCCTGTTCAACAAGATACACTATTTAAAAATTAACATTCATAAAAGCATTATACCAATGAATTCCTGTTAAATAGACATTCATAAAACATTATACCAATGAATGTATTTAAAAATTAACATTCATAAAAGCATTATACCAATGAATGTTTTTAAAATTAACATTCATAAAAGCATTATACCAATGAATGTATTTGATAAATTTTCAGTTGCAAAAATATTCACCTTTTTAGCAGTTTTAGAACATTACAATATATGTATAATGGTGACATTGATGTGTATTCTTTTATATATTTTTTGTTGAAATATTGTCTGTAATTGTATTGGAATGAATAAAGGTTATTAACCCCCCAAATCTTATTTGTACGTTTTCAGGACGTAGTAATGCTGAATGGCTTCGGTACAGTGGTGAACTCCCTTGGCAAGCGTGTGAAACCCTACCTTCCTCAGATCTGTGGTACAATCTTGTGGCGTCTCAACAATAAGTCAGCAAAGGTGCGACAACAGGCTGCTGACCTCATCTCACGCATAGCCATCGTAATGAAAACGTGTCAAGAGGCAAGTATTCGATATGAAAATCACATGATAGGGTAATAAAGAACTGAAAAAAAACCCATTTGCCTTGAGTGGTAACATGATTCAAAGGGTGTTTACATTGTCAGAGATTGTAAATAGGAAGTTGTTTTTGATGCAGTGAAACTTTATTTAAGAGGATAAACTGCATTGTTCAGTTTTGAACATTTTGATTTCATAGGCGAAGTGTTGCATATCTGTTGCAAATGGACAACAACATTTTATGTTAACATGCAGGAGTTGATTTGTTACCTTTTACAAATGATAATTAATGTTTAGGTTTATTTATTACACGGGTTGTATCAACATTGAATATGAATATTTGTTAAGAACTGTCATGCATAATATATTGTAGGAGCGATTGATGGGCCATCTTGGAGTTGTGTTATATGAGTATCTGGGAGAAGAATACCCTGAGGTGTTGGGTAGTATCCTGGGAGCTCTGAAGGGAATTGTCAACGTCATCGGAATGACCAAGATGACCCCTCCTATCAAGGATCTGCTACCCCGATTAACACCAATCCTCAAAAACAGACACGAAAAAGTGCAGGAGAACTGTATAGACTTAGTTGGTCGTATTGCCGACCGTGGGGCAGAGTATGTGTCAGCCCGTGAGTGGATGAGGATATGCTTTGAACTCCTGGAGTTACTGAAGGCTCACAAGAAAGCCATCAGAAGAGCAACTGTCAACACATTTGGTTACATTGCAAAAGCCATTGGGTATGTATGTCTGGTTTATATCTGCAATAGTCAAAATCAATTGATTTAACGACGATTTGTATATGTGTCATAATGCTTGTGATAATAAAAAATGTCACTGTTCAATCTAATTGTAATACATTATAATAATAATAATATACAACATTTATATAGCGCCCTGTAAAATTTGTAAAATTACTCAAAGCGCTTTACAACATATGGTTACATGTAATAGTAATGGTTATAATTGTGAAAACGAAAAACAAAGGCTTACAGTCACTTTTATACATTTAAGCAAGCAATGTGCACATAATTGAACAAATAAATAATATTCACCTGGTGTGTTTAGTAAAATAAAAAGTAATGGTCACTTATAATTAAAACTTGATATTTTTGCAGAAACTGGTGCTCTTTGCTGTTCATTGATAAACAGAACCCAAAGAAACTAATAATCAGCTTTGTTATAAATGTAATTATACACTAAACATTTGAAGAAAGTTTTAATCTTTTTTGTGTGATGAAGAAAGTTTTTTTTTACAGTCCCCATGATGTGCTGGCTACTCTGTTGAACAACCTCAAAGTACAGGAGCGTCAGAACCGTGTGTGTACGACGGTTGCCATTGCCATAGTGGCCGAGACTTGTTCTCCCTTCACAGTGCTACCAGCCCTGATGAATGAGTACAGAGTCCCAGAATTAAACGTACAGAACGGTGTCCTCAAATCTTTGTCCTTCATGTTTGAGTACATTGGAGAGATGGGCAAGGATTACATATACTCTATAGCTCCCCTACTGGAGGATGCCATGATGGATCGGTAAGGCACACTATATAGAATTAAATTGTCTGTTTCTGCCTTAATATGCAGAATTACCAGCTTTTGTGAAAACAGCTATACTCAAGTGCATGCACGCCTTGTTTGAAAAATAAATGTATCTGATCAACAAATCAAAAATTAAAAAATCTGAATTACCAGGTAATTGTATCTTTTAACATCATACGTGCAAATCAGTTGTAAATGTAATTTCACCCTATTTTGCATGCAGTATTAAGGTAATACGATTATTAAGGAATCATCCTGTTATCTATTATTTTCATAAGTGTGCAGAAAAAGTTTGATTTCATACACATTAAGAGATTTGTATTTGTGGAAATCCCTGGAGAAGATAAGGTTTATGGAACAGGTGCAGAAAAGTGACATGGAGTAAATTGAAACTTTTAAATTCAACACATAAAATAGATCCATATAAGATTGTTTCTTTGTTAAAAGGAGCTAAAATCTGGCTATCGAGAAATACAAGCATACACATACTCATATTGAATTTTTACCAAAGTATTATTTAATGAAACCTTGAAAATTAGTTAAAGTTTCATTCATAGGAGTAATAGGTCCATCTACACATATGACCTTCGATGTTGTGAGCCAAAAAAGTGCAGGAGTAGTTACTGATGTTTACACTTGTATTGTTGTTTATTACAGAGATCTGGTGCACAGACAAACATCAATGGCCGCTATACAACACATGGCTCTGGGGGTGTACGGCTTTGGCTGCGAGGATGCTCTCACACACTTACTCAATTACGCATGGCCCAACATCTTTGAAACATCTCCTCACGTTGTCCAAGCTTTTATGGGGACTATCGAGGGAATGAGAGTGGGTCTGGGTCCATCAAAAGTTTTACAATACACAATGCAGGTAAGTGGCATTTGGTGTAGTTAAGATTGCTATATGTGACCTTTGTGAATGTGTTTGAATGGTAGTGATTTGTTCGAAAGCTGCTAAAGTGAGTAAAGGTTTAATGATGAATAAATAGTAGTGATTTCTTTGCAAGGAAATGCATAAGGATAGGTGAAACATTTAAGGATAGGTGAAACAGAATGCAAATTATTGCTAAAAGATAAATGCTAACAATGTTCTTATCCTATTTTAAAATAAGGCAATGTTTAAATCAATCATTGGTAATCATACAGATAAGAAAAGGTATTTCAACTGTTTTTATCAAATAGATCTCCGAATTGATCTCACTATTTCATTAATTTGATTTTGAGGTGGGTTTTTTTCAAGTTTTTAATATACTTGATAGATGTTGATTAATACAATAAATGTTAACCTTCACCAATGGTTATTTGAAAGCTTCTTGTCATTACAGGGACTGTTCCATCCTGCAAGAAAAGTCCGCGACGTGTACTGGAAAGTGTATAACACTGTGTATATTGGTGCTCAGGACGGTATGATCCCTGCCTACCCACGTGTCCCCAATGACGCCAAGAACCATTATATCAGATATGAACTTGACTACATTCTCTGATCATAGCACTAATCATGTAAAATTCATTATATTTCATCAGGCAATTGAAAGACACACCCATTCGTGAGTTAATATAGAACAGTCAATGTGACAGTTTCTGGTGTCGTACTGATACACTATGAGCTCTCTCAGTGGGACTGTATTCACTAGTCTTTATCAACTGCGTCTTATGTACAAAAATACGGATCAAATTTTTCAGGATTTCTGCATTAAATTCATTCATTTGTATTTGAAGTACAGTTTAATACTGTCGCCTGCAAGACAGAAGACATCTGAAAAATATTGCAGGAATATATTGTACAAACAAATTAAGACTACACTTGCAGTAAGCCGGTTGTCATCTGCAGAATGAAAAATTTACAGAACAATAATGTAGCTTAAATCTGCAATTGCAGTTTAGCAGGTTGTCATCTGCAAAACAGAAAAGTTTACAAAACATGCTTTTGTTAAAATGCCATAACTACTGGTTTATATAATCTTTGTTAAAGTTCACAAATTTCACTCTCTTGATATTGAATACAAGTAAGGTTCAGAGATCCTTTTGGAAGTTTAAGTTCATGCTGCAACATGGCAGAAAGGACGAAACATCATTGGAACTCTCATAAAAAGGTGATGTCTTTTAGAAGCCTTGGAGCAGCAGTACAGTCATACATGAGACACAACGTGGTGAAGAGTGAGCTGTACATAGGTGTGACAGTTTAAGATTCTTGTGCTTGTACATAGAAGTGAAGATTGTGGTGTCCTGTGTTTTGGAACTGCTTGATGTTGTGAGATAGCGATCAGCACTACATAACTTTTAATCAAATATCCATATTAAAGCAAACACTCACCATCTGCAAGAGACTATTTTTCTACACATTTAAGCAAAACCATTTGTATGGCCCTCAAATTTGCTAATCTGAGCACTTGATTCACTGTATTTTTTCATCAGATGAAAGCAATATCTGTGAAATGAATTCCAGAAATAAAAAATGTGAATTCAGGATTTTTTTGTTTTTTAGAAAAGAATTAGACAGTTATTTTCTCCTTGTGAAACGTGAGTCTATGATGATAGGTACCTTGTAATGTAAGATACATGTGTTACATGTGGACGTTGCTGTTAGCGTGTGGATATTGTTTATAATCATGATTCAATAAAAGCAATGCACAGGAATTAATCTTTTGTTTATGGTCTTCTTTCAACTTTACAAAAACATATTCATCGTATGTCTTAATATACCCAGTACAGCTGAAAATTGTGACAGGACAGAATCGTAATTGTCTTGGATTTGAGCTCAAACCTTGCGATATAAATAAATATCAACCAGATTCTCCCGTAAAACATCTACATGGAACAAGTTTTGTCAATGTAATACAAAGTCATCTGCGATATATCACTGATAGTAACGTGACCTTGACCTTTGATGGTCATTAAAAGGATCGGTGACCCACAAGATGTCTGCCACGGAAGCCCTAATGGATCTTTTCAAATCGGCTCCAAAATAATAATTAAAAAAAGTCAGGACTCTTCACAAATCATTTCCAGTTTACTTCAGAAAAATCAGTTCGCAGTTTTTGAGTCAAAGTCGAAACAGATTTAAAAGACAACTGCCATAGTGGCCATATTGGACATCAAATTGGCTCAAAAATATCCTGGGCCCGTATTCATGAAACCGTTCTCATGCTCAAGCATGGATTCTGTGCTCAGGCCTAAATTATTGTTCTTGTTGTAACTTAATAAATAGATCTTGTTTTCTCAATGATTAGGAAACATTTTGAAGAGACTTGAAGCTAAATACTGTTTCAATGTTTACATTTGACATTTTGATCGTTTGAAATGATTTAAGCGAGTTACAAGAAAGTTGGTTTGAGCACAGAATACATGCTTGAGCATGAGAACAGTTTCATGAATACGGGCCCAGGACCATGCACTGATCATTCTTGGTTCCAGCTTAATCAGTTCAATCAAATTTCAGTTCATAATGAACTTTCAAATTCGTGTCTTTGGTGGTCATATTGGATATTGAATTGGTTCCAAAACATAAACAATTAGTCTTGACCCTACAACGACAATGTCGATTACATTTACGCAAAATCAGGTCTATAGACTTGGAAGTTCAAAAGACTGTTATGGAGGTTAGATTTGATTTTAAATAGACTTCAAAAAAAGAATTTATCAAGGCGACAAACTTACCATTCCTTCCAAGTTTCAGCTTATTCTGTAGAGTTTGAGTTCTAAGTTCAAAATAAATGTTCACGATGGGGTCTATGTTGACTACTGGTATAATGAATTTCAAAGTGGCTTCAGTTTTGCCACCATCGGTCTAGACCATGATTGATCACTACCATGGCAGTCAAATTGGTTACAAAATAACCAGAACATTTCTAATTCATCACAGTACAGTAGAATTTGACTGTAAATTCTGTACAGATTTTCAAGATGACGGCCCCAAAAATATTGTGAATTTGTCTCCACCACACACCAGTTTTCAATATATTTCAATGAAATAAGTTCAGTAGGATTTTAGTTTAATTTTACATTAGATTTTCAGGATGATGGCCATTTTGAATTCCAATTCGGCTCCTATACTTAGTATACTAACACTTGGATCAGGATCATCTTTTCCAATATACTTAGCATTTTCAGAATTTGTGGTTAGGGTTTAAAAGGTTAACTGACAACATGATGGATAACCTCGAAGGATTTTCTTGTGAGCTAATAAAATTTACTTTTGTAATTTATGAGTCTGAAAACCTAATAATTGTTGTAGATTTGAACAATAATTATCGTAATGACCTGTGTATATAGAGGAGAATTAAAGAAAGCCAGACAGTGGGAGGAAAATTTTAATTTATTGAGTCACACATTTACAGTATTAACAAGTCTTGACTTTTAACTTTGATATACCCGGGTAAATACATATACAATAAAATCTGCTCAAGACAAACTGGACAGGATCACAAAAAATAAAATACATGTATAATTAAGTTTTTAAAGTGCTTGTTATTAAGATATTTATCAGGTTCTAGAGTATTGCAGTTCACATCTATTTGTACACATGTACTGTATTGTAGGTCACCTGACTGTAAACATCCACCAATACACATTTATTTTACAGAGGTTCACATAACTTTGTTTTACTGGTATATTTTTACCAGATAAAATGTTCCAGTTTAAAAGTACCAAGTTCCGTGGTTGAGAGTATTCACACCTCCCAATTTGGCGAGCAGATTTACAATACAACCATAGTGAAAAAAACTTTTAAACATGAACATCATGGAGGCTTATTGATAGTGATAAACAGTTTATAAAATATTCTTTATTTAGCATTTACAAACTACCATGGATTTATGCCTTGGATTAGCGACTTGACATGATGGCTCCTTATTTTCATATTTTGATTTGACATCACAGACATACTTGTTATTTTGCTCACATTAAGAAACAGAAGGAACAAGGCTCCATTGAGCAGGACTTAACAGCTGCATCAATACATTGCTTTATGTTGGATATAGTGTTGAAGACTTTCTACTTTAAATAGTAACATTGATTTAGACAAGGAAGTCCTGTATGAATTTTTGATCAAAATGAATCAAGATTACTTTGAAAGAATAACAGAAGTGACTTAACTTTGACAACAGAAACAGCCAAAAGACATTACTTAGTTTTGAAAACGTTGTCTCCCTGAAAATCTTTTAACGTCAAGGAAAAGTTGATAGGGACTGGATGATTGGAAACAGACATGAATCAGTCACTGTCTGAGGTGTCTCTTCGTCCGATTTCACGATGATCGCGATGTCTGTTATTATCATTTTTCCTTCTTGATCTCTGATCTCTATCTCCCGACCTTGACCTGTGTCGTCGGTCATTGGATCTTGACCTTTGACGTCTATCTCCCGACCTTGACCCGTGTCGTCTGTCATTTGATCTTGACCTCCGACCTCTTTCATGTGATCTTGACCTATTCTTACGTGGAGAAGGACTGGCTCTTCTCCCTCTATCTCTTCTGACAACTGGGGAATGTGTGTGCCTATTCTGACTGTACCCAGAGGCAGAATCCTTTTGGTATCTAATCTGATGACCATCTTGTCTCGAGTCTCTTTCCCTATCCATCTCAGATGACTTATTTTGAACAGTTCTAGACACTTCCTCATCACCAGAATTATGACGATCCCTTTGACTATTTGGTTCCTTCTTTATACGATTTCTGCCCACATCATTATAAGCATGCTGTTCTCGCCGACTTGGTGGCTCAATCTTTACACGAGGCCTATCCTCTTCACTAGAACTTCTGTGTCTAAGTTTCCGGTAATTTTTGCTCTGACTGGGATGTCCTTTCCTTCCTCTTTGTTGCTCCTCTGAAGAGCTACTGCGATCCCTATGGCCTTTGTCTTGTCGATGTGCTCCCTTCATTACTGGTCTGTCCTCTGAGCTGTTTTGGCGCAAGTGTTTCTTTACCTTGTGTTTGCTTCTGTATGGACTGCCATCTGAATCCGAGTCCATCCTCTGTCGATGTCTCCCTCTTGAATCCTCTCTTGGTCTCTTTCTCACAGGTTCATCATCTGAAAATGATACGGTAATTTTTTCAGCTACATATCTTAAGTTTTTTGTTTGCATACCTTAATGAGGTATTTTTTCATTTTCCTTCAATAATTAATGAAGAAACTTGGGTTGCGTGCCCCTGGTTTTGATGTAATCACTTTGAGATTTTTTTCATGTGATATTAAGACAAAAAGCAGATTACCCGATAATCAATGTTCCTTTTTCATTTGTGATGTTAAAACAATTTATACCATAACTTATCATTATTACACTAGAGGTATAATAACAGAGAAGGCTAAATAGAGTTTACTTAAGGTACCTCATCCCTTCTTCAGGTCCTAAACTCATGTTGGCACTGCTTAGTAATACTGCAGCTCATTTACCTGAGCTACGACAATCATTACTTAAACTCTGACTTACCTGAGCTACGACAATCATTACTTAAACTCTGACTTACCTGAGCTATCACTATCATAACTTAAACTCTGACTTACCTGAGCTATCACTATCATGACTTAAACACTGACTTGCCTGAGCTACTACTATCATTACTTAAACACTGAGCTACCACTATCATTACTTAAAATCTTACTTACCTGGGGTATCACTATCCTGACTTAAATACTGACTTACCTGAGCTACAACAATCATTACTTAACTCTGACTTACCTGAGCTATCACTATCATTACTTAAACTCTGACTTACCTGAGCTATCACAATCATTACTTAAACTCTTACTTACCTGAGCTATCACTATCATTACTTAACTCTGACTTACCTGAGCTACCAAAATCTTTACTTAAACTCTGACTTACCTGAGCTATCACAATCATTACTTAAACTCTTACTTACCTGAGCTATCACTATCATTACTTAAACTCTGACTTACCTGAGCTATCACAATCATTACTTAAACTCTTACTTACCTGAGCTATCACTATCATTACTTAACTCTGACTTACCTGAGCTACCAAAATCTTTACTTAAACTCTGACTTACCTGAGCTATCACAATCATTACTTAAACTCTGACTTACCTGAGCTACTACTATCATGAGCTATCACTATCATTACTAAACTCTGACTTACCTGAGCGATCACTATCATTACTTATCTCTGACTTACCTGAGCGATCACTATCATTACTTAAACTCTTACTTTCCTGAGCTATCACTATCATTACTTAACTCTGACTTACCTGAGCTACTACTATCATGAGCTATCACTATCATTACTTAACTCTGACCTACCTGAGCTACCAAAATCATTACTTAAACTCTGACTTACCTGAACTATCACTGTCGCTACTAGAACTATCTGAATGAACCACTTTTCTATGTCGTTGTCTTTTTGGACTTTCATCTGAAAGTAAATTAATTAGACATGAAATAAAGTTATAGAATATCCAACATCAGAAAGTGAAATCTTCATCTACACAAATTCAAAATTGAGGTGTAGTTCAATATTAACTAGAACATGCTTCCAGCAAAGTAGAAACAGATTTTTTCATTAGATGTATGACAAAGGGAGAAACGATGAGAAAAGGACGAAACATGAGTGATGACAAAAGGACAGACATAATGATTTTACATGGTACGTACCTGTCATCATGACCACATTATGTTTGTGTCTTTATCAGGGAAGTTTAACATACACGAGAACTTATAACACATGTTATTCAACTATTTAACTGGCAAAATTCAATACTTGGTAGCTCCAAGTAAATAACCCCACTCCGGTACACAGATTATACCATAGTTAATCCATATCTAATCAATGTCCATTTTAAGGAGATAGGTAAAAAAACACCCAAAAAACATATAACCAGCCAGTTGCAAGCTGCAATATTGTGAATGACCTCCTATTAACAGCTATGGTCATTTAAAAACGTGCAAGGTTTTGGTGATGGAGCAAAGCCAGAGTTCCCAGAGAGAAACCACCGACCTACGGCCAGTACCTGACGACTGCCCCATGTAGGCCTCGAACTTGTGACCCAGTGGTGGAGAGCTAGTGGTAGCAGAATGTCAAAGGCCTTAACCACTTGGCCATCGCGGTTTCTCTGAAACATGGTATTTACCTGAATCTGAAGAAGCTGACTTCCTTTTTTGTTTCTTTTTCTTTTTCTTCTTGGACTTCTTATTTGCTGTATCTTTTCCTTTGGTTTGGAGTTTATTCAATCTCCTATTGATGCAAAGGTAATGGTTAGAATTTATTCATCATAGGTGTACCATTCATGAAAGATTTCCAGAAACAAGAAGCCCATGGGCCTTAACAGTCACCCGAGTCCTGCAGTATTTATTTTTGTTGTTGAAATATGTACCAATTTGAGTAAAAAATTGTTAAGCATAACGTTAACTTAAGTTTGTCAGGACCATGAGTCGATCATTTCTACAAAGTTTCAGCTCAATCGGCCTAGCAGAACTTGACTTTAAGTTTGAAATAGTTTTTCAAAATGGCGGCGGTGGCGGCCATATTGGATTTCTGATCGACCCGAAATATAACAAAACTTTGTCAGGACCTTGAGACGATCATTCCTACCAAGTTTCAGTTCAATTGGCCCAGTAGAACTTGACTTTAAGTTTGAATATTTTTTTTTTAAATGGCGGCCGTGGCGGCCATATTGGATTTCTGATCGACCCAAAAAATAACAAAACTTTGTCAGAACCATGAGTCGATCATTCCAACAAAGTTTCAGTTCAATCGGCCTAACAGAACTCGACTTTAAGTTTGAAATAGTTTTTCAAAATGGCGGCCGTGGCGGCCATATTGGATTTCTGATCGACCCGAAAAATAACAAAACTTTGTCAGGACCATGAGTCGATCATAGTTTCAGTTCAATCGGCCTAGCAGAACTCGACTTTAAGTTTGAAATAGTTTTTCAAAATGGCGGCCGTGGCGGCCATATTGGATTTCTGATCGACCCGAAATATAACAGCACTTGGTCAGGGAGATGTCAGTAACATTCCCATGAAATATTAATGAAATCCCTTTGCCAGTATTCCAGCTTAAGTTGAAAATGTAAAATGTTAACGGACGTTGCACGACGGACGACTCCCAGGTGACCTTAAAAAACACATGAATGCTTTGAGTGATTTTAAATCAAAAATGCATATTCCACAGTTGTGTTTTTAAATTATGGCTATTTCTGGTAATATAGTGAATAATAATAAAATAACATGTGCCAAACGTATTTTATTTAATTACTCTAAGACACTACTGTACAAAAGTTATTCAAATAACTCAACAATCAGGCATACAATTCAGAAATACATAGTCTGGTATATAATTGAATTCTGTCTTTCCCTAAGCATAATGTTGACCTTCTTTTGCACAGTATTAATGAACCAGCTGTTTAATTCCAAGCTTACACATACTATTAAGACTATTTTTAAGAATTGTGGAAGGTTTTGTGATCTTTTTAATTGTCTCAAATTTGGTTACCATCCCAGATTCTAACAAGGGCAATATGCTTACGACAATCTCATTAGTAAATAATGTTAGTGAACATGCTGTGTCAGACAATCCGTCTATAATGGACTACTGTTACCAGCCTTTCTTACACTTGAATAATTATTGAGTAAACATTGATTGAATCAACTCTTTTATGTATTTCTTTTGTTGCTTTTATTCTACTTACTTGAGCAGTTTTTTCTTCTGTTTTGGCGTCAACGACTTGAGAAACTGAACCTCTGGATCGTCTTCATCCTCACTCTTAATGATTTGCTAAATATAACCAAATAATTTGTAAGAAAGAGGCAAGTCTCTTACAGGATTTCAAATCTTTCTAAAACCGACCTAGGTGTAATAGAATTGTTGCTTAGTAACAGATTTAAGTCTTAAATGTTCTTTTTCTTTGCTTTAGTGAAAAAATAACTTACATGTTAATTAATGACAATCAGTTTTTGAGTCAAGCAATAAAAAATGTTATGTTCATGTACCTTAATAGAGATTTGTTAATCCAGTCCCAACTAATGCAGTTATCTTTCTATCTGGCAGTTGTTTTTGTAAAATTTCATTTTAATACTAGAGGTCTAGAGCGAGCAATTGGCAGTATTTGATTCCTGCCTGCTAGTGGACCTGGTTCCAACGCTCGTGTCAGGGACAACTTTAGTCTCTCTTTAAATACGATTTTGTTCATTGGAGCCCCCAGGGAAAGTATTTATTGTCCCTATGCCACAAATCACATGTATGTATAATGTGTTAGGTAGCATATAACCTTAACTCATTCATCCCTGAAAACACATTTGACTCTTCCAATTCAAAGGTGAATGGGTTAACTCGAACACAATTCAAAGGTAAAATGTGTGAGGTAATATATAGATCGCAAACATCCTGAAGAGCAATAACCCTAACACAAAACACAAATGTATAATATGTAATTCAGTGTATACTCTAAAACTTTTGTTGCATATAATATACCTCATTTGATGCCCGGGGATCTGACATTCTTCCTAAGATGCTCTGTTTCAATGCAAACCCATCTTCCTGCATACTCTCTAACAGAGAGGAAGCACTGTTCTCCGCTACAAAACATTACAACAAATATACAAGTATAAAATTTACCAGTGTAAAAATAAGAAGATTTGTTACATCTACAATACACCATACAATTTTTTTGATAAATAGTGATAACAAACTGTCGAAATCCAAAATGTCTGTCTAAAAATTTCTAACACTGCAGCCATTGCTGACACTTGTTACACTTTAAAATTGAAAGAATGTTATGATATTACAACTATGTATAAATACCTCACAGGATGATCAATTTCATTACAAAATTATACAGAAAATAGTATTTTGTGACAATTATATAGAGAAGATGTTTGTATGGTACTACTTACGTTGTTCTGGCTCTGCTGTGAGATCTTTTCCGAACAGAGGACATATCTTGTCAGTGTTGACATGACCCCATTTGCGACATTTTATGCAGCGAACGTTTCTCACCTCCACACCAAACGGCTGGTCGCGGATCATCTCATCATCCTTGGCATACCTAGAAGAGTATTTTAGAATATAGTGTTTGTTTTTTTGGCATAACATTTTGTAAGAAATATAAAACTTATGAAAAAAAGTTCAATTTTTTTTAAACAAAAAAACCAATTGCAACCATACATGGGATGTTACTCCAACAAGTTATCATTTTGCCTGTTGATATTTGATTTAGTTCTGCTGATTCTTCTCAAATCATAGCATGAATATTTATGATGTGCATGCACATTTGTACTTGTAAGTTTATATACTGATTATATAAAGACGGTGTCCAGAGTTGATTTGACCACTCAAGGACTACATTCAAGTACTATTTCAATGAAATGTGTTAACCTGAATAAATTAATACCATATGACACAGTACCCAGTCACATTATTCTGACAATGGACCAACCAAAGTTTCCCTTGGAAGATGCCATCAAAAACAGAACGTTGGTACCAGTAAAAGGAAAGCAAAGATAAAGGTCTTAATTTACATAAGTGTTGCAAAGAGGACAGCAAGTCAATATGAATTTTTCTGTTTCCCCTAGAAAAGGACACACTAAAGAAATATAGTGCAAGCGCAAGCTTTAAATAACCCAGATTACAAATATCCTGCTGAAACTGTCTGATATAGAAAGTTTGTAAAGCTCCGATTACGTATTCCTGTTGTATGTGATTACCTTGGTATATAACTAAACAACTTACTGCTCTCTTGGTGCATTGTACTTTCTCTGCCAGTCAAATTTCACCTCTGCTTCTCCCTCTTCTTGCTGAAGAAAAATATATATAATCATAACAGGATCTTCACATTGCAGAAAGGTTTGAAGATGCTTTTACGACAGGGAAGCATTGCTGTAACAAAGGATGAAAAATGTATACGCTGTGTAAGCTTGAAGCTCAATTTTTATACCATTATAACTTTTTATAATGACTTTTTAATATGTTTTTTGTATACAACAGGGAAAACTGTGGTCTGTGTGACATCCACTATTCCAGAGAGAATATAAAACAGGCCAATCTTCAACTTATATTTGTGTATCAAAATTTGCCTCAGACATTTTAGACCATTTTTTCCCCCCAGATATTTGAGAATTCATTTTCCTGTTACTTATGAAATCAATTTGTCAACTGAAATGCCTAGTTTATATTTTAAATTTAACATGAGCTAATGAAACCATACCTCTTTTTTCTTCATACCAGGTGGTGCATCATACATGAAACTCAAACCTAGTTTGGCCTTTTCATCTCCAAGAAGAGCCCTGAGAAACAAAATATGGTGTTAGTTTAAAATGGTTTAGTATACATGAACATCTTAGTGTGTGTTTATATATCATGAATTCTGTATTAATAAAACATTAAGTTTGGAATGTAGGCATTTTTTTTTATATATTTTTACTACACTTATGTAGAGCAGAAGTTCTGACTTTAACAGTACTTATCACTATATATAAATACCAATAAAAAACTTGAGGGAAAACAAAAAAATATAGGGTCGTTAAGGAAACGGGAAACACATATGAATTTTTTGCGAGACAAAAAATTCATAAGTTAATCCCACAGTGTTTTAAAATATTGGTAATCCATTACATGTTCAGTTCATTACTGCCTAACACTTAACGATACATTTTTGCTATTGGAGTCAGTTTGAACTGTTTAATTTCTTTTTACATGAATATTATTTATCACCAAAACAAAATAGAACTCTATCTCACAACTATAGCCACTCTAATACAATCAACAAACAAAGATTCCAAAGTTTTACGGGTACCTTCACAGGTAATATATACACCATTTTTATATCTGAATGAAGACATCAGCTATTAATTTGGCAATAGCATTGACATCAGGATAGCATTGTGAGAACAAATTAAAGGAAACACACGTTGAACAGATGATAACTGGTTTGACAGGCAATACACATTTTATTCCTAGGGCGATCCCTACTTGTTACCCAGCAAGAACATTCTAAAATGTCGGCTTAGATACGACAGCCAGAAGATATTGTCACTGGGTAACATCTCAAAACCAGAAAGAAAGAAAAAAATGTTTTATTTTTTAAATCTTAATTGAAAGCTTTTTTAACTTGCACTGTCAGCTTTTATAGTGAGGCCCTGCATATGTTGTTCAGTGACGTAAATGTTTCACATTGAAATGGGACAGGAAATAATGTGACAAATTAAATGAAAAGCTTAAAATTTCTTGCCCTTACCACCTATTAACTTTCTGTCCAGCCGACCGTCGCTATTATATTTTATATCAGTTTAAATTAGTGTCTGGCTTGCAATGGCAACATATCATCTCTCGCTAATGGGCGTACTTTGCCAAAAAAAGCAACATATGTTACGTATACACCGAAAATACTGAGGGAGCACCGCATAGTCTGTTTTGTACAAAGACAGCGAGTTGTTTTCTTTTTGCACAACACAACCCCAAAGCTGCACATGTCATTTATGAAACTTTTCCCAGTTTTTTTATAAGCTCAAGAGGCCAGCAAAAAAGAAAACATTTCACGAAATGAAAAAGAATCGAAGGATTCTGCACAATTATTTTATTGCATTTACCTACATTTCCCTATGAATATTAAACATGCTTACCTGTTCCTGTACATGTCCTGTTCTTTCTGATACTGGGCTAATAAATCTTCCTGTTTTGTCTTGTCAAATTGTGTTTTTTGTTCTGCCATCCATACCTAAAGAAAAAGTAACAAATATTAGAACCAGATATGAAAATCAATTAAACGATGTAACAACAAAAGAATGCAGCTTTGTTCTATGGAACTGTAATAAACACTATATGTAGAAATAGATAATTTTAACTGCCGAATACAAGATTTCGTACCCTGGCAGTGAAGTGTAGGATACATTTTATATATATCGACTCTTTCTAAATTTCTGGGATGTCATTCCATTCAAATATTTTTCATATTTAGAAAATAATTGAAGGAATTATTGCAAAAAAATGTGAATTCATAAAGAATTCAGTTGTGGCATTATACAACCATCTGCTTCATTTTGTTTACAGGTTAATACTGGTCTCCGTCCTGGACCCGTGTACAAGAATTACTGCCTACCCAGTTAAGTAGGATTTAATAGCTATAGGAAAAATGATAGACACAGGATGTAACCCTCTTTAGTCCACATCAATATTTAACTCTACATAAGATATACAAGAAAAACTTCTGGTGCAAAATGCCATGAATTAATATTCAATTATTAAGATTTTGTCCTTTTCCCCCAATGTTCATCTAATCAAATTTCAAACTGGTAGTAGCATCATTTATGATGGGTGGTAGGTAAATCTTGTACTCCATTCCCGGTCCCGTACCAGGGAAAAAGAGATATTGTAATTTCTCAAAAACGAGATCGTTACTTTCATTGGTTCAAAGTTTAATCAAACCAACCAATCATTTTCTAAATGTGACACTTTGGATGAAAACTTTAAATTGTCTGATAATTTTGAAATTGATGATAATGTGTATTTCAAGGTGGTAAAACTTGAACGCCTCACTCAACCGTGAAAATTACGTTTTTTCATATATTATTAGAAATATATGACATGATATTTTCAGATACAGCCTATATAATAAAAAAAAAACATTTTTCACATGAAGTTCTGACTTTGTTGTGATCACATGTTTTGTTTACTCCCGTACCAGTGATAAGGGTGGATCACTATGTCAAGCGTATACACTCTTGATAGTTTGAAAGGAAATATGAAACAAAAGGGTCATTTGTCAGCTTCTTCAGAAATGCAGTTGTCTCCATCATATGGGAAAAAATCGAAAAGTTTTTAAAACGGTATTACCAAATGTGCAACAACAGAAAAACGGGGTTGACTGGAGGGTTTTTGCTATTGCAAACTTGTTAGAATTTTGTTTCAATGGGTTTAAGGGAAATGAAGAGTTAGAGTTTGACACCAATTACATGAGACAACATCTTGTTGAATGTATTTCCAATGAGATCTTTACTAAATTTTCTAGGAAAAAATGAGTAGACATAGACAAAAGAAAACTTCTTTATCATTTGATTTTTTTATTGATTGCGAAGCAGATGGGCGTCACATCTCTAATGTATTTGATGACATGGTATCTTGTGATGCTGACTGTGACAGATGGATTCATAATAGATGTGTAGGTGATCTGTCAGATTTACATTTTTCTTAGGATAGTTTTATTTGGCAGTGTTGTACATGTAAGTGTTCATAAAACAGCAATAAAAGTCATAGTCATAAAAGTTTATAGGTCTCCGAACATAAATCAGGTTAGAATTATGCAGTTTTAATAGTTATTTAGGTTAGCCAGTATTGTAATTTTAACATAAAAACTACAGCAAGTATTTTTTTCATAAAAGTATTTATAATTTTCAGTTAAACAACTTATGTTTTTTTGCTATTTTTTTTACTGTATTTGTATCCTATAAAACTTATAATGTGAAGTGAGTAAACATAAAATTCCTTTTGAAAGAAAACAAAATTATTTCAATCATAGAACCATTTTTTTCAAGTTATTATAAAAATACTTAGATCAGAATCAAATGAAACCATTTTTTGTCTAATGATAACCAATCGTAATGATAATCATGAATTGTTATTTTGTGAACTATTTTTATTCTTTTATATAGGGTTTAAAAAAATGGGCTCTTATGTAGAACTGCATCCTCATCGAAGAGCCTGGTAACATTCTTATGTAAGAATGGCTAAGAGTTCTACTTAATAACAAAGCTCGACGAAGTGATCTCCCCTTAGAACGGGTATGAGGTAAAAACAAGAGGCCCATGGGCCTTAACGGTCACCTGAGTCTATAGTATTTATTTTTGTTGTTGAAATATGTACCAATTTGAGTAAAAAATAGTATAATGTTAACTTAACTTTGTCAGGACCATGAGCTGATCATTCCTAGACCAATTTTAAGTGAGATCGGCCTATTAGAACTTAGTAGCAAAATAGCGGCCATGGCAGCCAAATTGTATTTCTGATTGACCCGAAAAATAACAACACTTTGTCAGGACCATGATTCGATCATTCCTACAAAGTTTCAGTTCAATCGGCCAAGTAGATCTTTACTTTAAGTTTGAAATAGTTTACCAAAATGGCAGCTGTGGTGGCCATATTGGATTTCTGATCGACCTGAAAAATAACAACACTTTGTCAGGACCATGAGTCAATCATTCCTACAAAGTTTCAGTTCAATCGGCCTAGCAGAACTTGACTTTAAGTTTGAAATATGTTTTCAAAATGGTGGCCGTGGCGGCCATATTGGATTTATGATTGACCTGAAAAATAACAACACTTTGTCAGGACCATGAGTCGATCATTCCTACAAACTTTAAGTTCAATCGGTCCAGCAGAACTTGACTTTAAGTTTGAAATAGGTTTTCAAAATGGCGGCCGTGGTGGCCATATTGGATTTCTGATCGACCCAAAAAATAACAACACTTTGTCAGGACCATGAGGCGATCATTCCTACCAACTTTCAGTTCAATCGGTCCAGCAGAACTTGACTTTAAGTTTGAAATAGGTTTTCAAAATGGTGGCCGTGGCGGCCATATTGGATTTCTGATCGACCCGAAAAATAACAACACTTTGTCAGGACCATGAGACGATCATTCCTACCAACTTTCAGTTCAATCGGTCCAGCAGAACTTGACTTTAAGTTTGAAATAGGTTTTCAAAATGGGGGCCGTGGCGGCCATATTGGATTTCTGATCGACCCGAAAAATAACAACACTTTGTCAGGACCATGAGACGATCATTCCTATCAACTTTCAGTTCAATCGGCCCAGCAGAACTTGACTTTAAGTTTGAAATGTAAAATGTTAACGGACGACGGACGACGGACGACGTACGACGGACGACGACGGACGAAAACGGATAGCAATAGGTCACTTGAGCTAAAGCTCAGGTGACCTAAAAATACCTGCGATCTTCGCCTGTGATCATAATATAAAGTCGACATTTCAGGTGAAAAAGGTTGTTCTTTTCATTGAAACTGATATAATTACAAACAATAATGTATTTTGTTATGTGGAACTGAAATAAATATGCCATTAGACTCTATATTTTGGATAATTTGCAAGAATCGATAATTTTCACAGTTGACTGCGACATACAAGTTTTACCCCCTTGAAATATACATTATCATCGATTTCTAAATTATCAGATGATTATTTTTAGAGGTTTTTAGTTCAGGTCCGGGAAGGGTGTTCAAGATTTACCGGGGAACTTTATAATGTGTTTAGGAAAAATAATCCATATATACATCTACAATTCATTATTAGGAGAATTTTCCTCGCCTCTAAACTACAACAATATATATTCAGAATGTCCCCTTGTTATATTTCTGATGCCTATTTCAAACATGTGTGCAGTTTATCTTTTATCATATACAGTACTAGTGTACATACTATTTATGATTTTATAGACACTGTTGATCATAGCCTGAGTTTCCTCTGGCCCTGACACCAGACTTAGCGTTTTGACAGATAGATGTCTGGTGTGGGGCCATAGCACACATTTATTTGGATGGAACTTTAGTAACAATTTCTTTGACCAATTTTGAAGCTAATCTAGATCATTTTGCATAATTTAAATATCCTCCCTGCTCTTTATCTGCCTATAAAGGAATCATAGACACCTCGGCACCTGGTAAAGTCGGTACTTGGACACCTCGGCACTTATATTTTCGGCACTTGGTTACCTCAACACTTTTTGAAAATAAGTCGGTACTTATTTCTTAATTCAGTTCAATTTTTAAGTTAAGTTTTTAAGAAACTGATATCCCTGAATCTATAGTTGGTATTCAGTGTCGTTGTTATTTGTGATATGTTCAAATTCATATAAAGGGGAATAATATAACTCGTTGAAAAGTTGGTATGTTTCTTGTGCGTTCGTTACATTCGTTAAAAATGCAGTTTTGGAGAATGAAATACAATGTATCAAGAATAATATGCCCTTCTCTCATGTGTCCACTGAATTACATAGCGTATCTTAAAAACTACATGTGGCTTGACATTGTTTAAGAAAGAAATATCGCAAAATGACAATAGTCAGCATTTTAGTTTCAGCCAGGTACCCTGGACCCCTAGCTCAATCTACACATGCTGAATTTTCCTGAGGTCAGCCTCGATTCAGATCTCTACCTGTCGTTTTTTTACAGGTTCAACCAGTTCAACTGGATACGCAAATGTACACCAGCACTGACAAAACTCTTCCAAATATCATTAGACTCTGGATCAGTCCCGCAAGATTGGCGCGAGGCACACATTGTTCTCGTCTTTAAAAAAGGTGACAAACAAGCTGCAGAAAATTATCGTCCCGTCTCTTTATAATTAACTTGTATCACCTGTAAATTACTAGATCATTCATAGCAATGTCATGGATCACTTAGACCTCAACAATATACTCACCAAATTTCAACACGGCTTTCGATCCAAACACTCTACGGAAACGCAACTAATTCTAACGGTAGATGACATCCTTCGGAACATAAACAACAAATCACAAACAGACATTGCCCTATTAGACTTTTCTAAAGCTTTCGTTAAGGTCCCTCATGAACGTCTTCTTTCTAAACTACACTTCTTTGGCATTCGAAACAGTACAAATTCCTGGATTAGATCATTCCTAAACAACAGAGACCAACTTGTTTTATTAAATGGGACCAAATCTGACAAGGCCTCTGTCCTTTCCGGGGTTCCCCAGGGGATGGTCATTGGGCCGCTGTTATTCCTCGTTTACATAAACGACTTGGTACAGTCAGTCTCCTGCAAGGTCAAACTGTTTGCAGACGATTGTCTACTCTATAAGGAGATAATGTCTGAGGACGACTGCAAACAGACTAGAACAATGGGAGACTGACTGGCAAAAGAACTTCAATGCTCCAGGAAAGTCAAATCACAAACGTATACCACTCTAGTGAGACCGACTATCGAGTATGCCTCTACATGTTGGGACCCATACACCACAGAAAACATTGTACTGTTGGAAACCGTCCAACCTAGGGCTGCTCGATATGTCTATAACAAGTGTCACCAGCATGGTACAATCACTGAACTGGGAACCACTTGCACAGAGACGAGCAAAAGCAAGCGTTTCAATGATGTACAAAATCTTAAATGACAAAGTAGCCATCTCCCCTAATGATCATGTTAAAGTGTCAGACTGCCGAACTAGGGGAGCCCACAAACTCCAACAAATTTCTACTAATTCGGACAAATATCGAAATTCATTTTTTCCCAGAACTATCAGTACATGGAATTCTCTGCCCGTGTCACCTGACTTGAACCATTTCAAATCAGCTCTATCTGCTCATCATCCTAAAAAAACTCTATATTAACTTTTATAATTATCATGCATGTACATGTATATAGTTTTATCTTATCATAAAATAACCAAAAACATTAATGCCACCTCCAAGGACACCTAAAATTGCGGCAACTGCACTCATATCTATGAGATCTGCCGCAGTAAATGGAAGAAGAAGAAGAAGACCCATGTTACCCTATAAAGGACGTAGTTGTCTCCCTTCTTCAATTCCAAGCAGAGCAAGATTATGGAATATGTAATGTTTTCTTTGAACAATTATGCCAAAAAAATAAATGACACTAAATAAATAATGGAAGCTAAGACAGATATAACGGAATTTAACTTATAAGTAACTGTTGTACAACTGTAGGTCCACTCATCTTGCGTCTCGATCAAAAATATGAGTTGAAGGTCTCCGGTTGGGGTATTTACCGAAATGGACCGGAATGGAGTTGAATTACCGAAATGGAGGGAAATGGACTTTAAAATGGCATTATTTCAAGAGAATGGACCTAAATATACATTCTTCATCACCAACTGGAGTCATATGTAGAAGATTGGGCGTTTATTTTGTTTACATCCATTTTAAATTAATTTTTCAAAATAACGCAATTCACGGCACGATTTTAATTACCGAAATGGACGGCAATGGGCCTTAAATTGGCATTATTTCAATAGAATGGACCCTAATATACATTCTTCATCACCAACTGGAGTCATATGTAGAAGATTGGGCGTTTATTTTGTTTAAATCTATTTTAAATTAATTTTTCAAAATAACGCAATTCACGGCACGATTTTAATTACCGAAATGGACGGCAATGGGCCTTAAATTGGCATTATTTCAATAGAATGGACCCTAATATACATTCTTCATCACCAACTGGAGTCATATGTAGAAGATTGGGCGTTTATTTTGTTTAAATCTATTTTAAATTAATTTTTCAAAATAACGCAATTCACGGCACGATTTTCGTTACCGAAATAGACGGCAATGGGCCTTAAATTGGCATTGTATCGATAGAATGGACCCATATATGCATTCTTTATAACCCAATAGAGCTATATGTAGCAGATAGGTAGTTAAATTAGACTGGAAATATTTTTTATTTGTCATTTAAAGACGCGCAATAGCCGAGATTCACGGTACGATTTTCGGCTATCCGAAGAAATTGAAGTGGGGGCTGAATGTTGACCCTACCTTTCACATTTGTCTTTAAAGCAATAAAAATAAGGATTTGAACAAGATACAATATAATTTTATAAGATAATTATAAAATAAGATTGTTTGGTTCATGATAGCATGGAATGAGTGAGAGATTCTTTTAATTTGGACAACTTTTTAAGAAATAACATTTTGACACAAAGTAACAGAATTGACACAGGAAACACTATCCATCCTTTTGCCTATCTGACTCCTATCAAGTCAAAATATGAAGGTCTCTTTATTAAAATTACTCTACTGTTCACATTTATCTTACCCGTTTTATATTTTCCTTGCTAGCAGGATGGAAAAACTTCTTTGTCATGTAATTATTAAAACCCTTCCCCATCTTGCTGGTTTGGTAGAGCAAATAACTAAAATAAATTCAGTCCAGTCGTATTCCAGTCGTTTTTTTAACAGGAAGTTGTCAAATCGCTGTGTAGGCCTAATCACGTACTTCCGGTCGAAAGCCAATTAAAAATATCAAAAATAGAATAGAGTGTAACATTTCATTAAATACCCAAACTTAATTAGTTAAATTCTTATTTTCTTCATTGAATTTTGTATTTTTCCATTTGATTAAAAACTATTGAAACAAAAGCAGATTCTAAGAATCTATTTATAGATTTGCGGATTTCCCGGAAGGATCGTCCAACAGAATGCCAGAATTCCACAGTAAAAGTAAGTGCTACTGTTCGCAGTGTTCGCACTGTTCTTCCAGTCGTTGTAAGTCTTCGACTTGTGAGACTGTCCTATATCTTGTTGTCATCGATACTTTATGGTATGCTACTAATCGTAATTAGGCCTAACCTGGATAACAAGTCGAATTAACAAACTTTTGATATGTTGAGTCAATTTTGAAAGGACATGCTAGATTCTAAAATCTTATCACGTTGTTTTGATAAACACGCAGGCATTATTATGCCTCTATATATTATCCATATCAATTATTATACATAAAATGAAATCATCATCATCTTCCATTAAGTGACTGATCTCCTTGATGGAGTGCAATTGTCACTGTTAGAGGTTCCTAGAGGTGGCAGTTAAAAACTTATTTTTTTATGGTATTTTCGTATATGATAAAACTATTTACAAAAAGTATACATGAAGTTAGTATAGAGGAAAAGGGTTGAAGCCTGCAATTGCTGATTTAAATGAATTAAGATCAGGCGATTTGGCGATGTCTGTGGGTATAGAGTTCCATGTGATGATAGTACGGGGGAAAATAATATTTGTATTGATTTGATGCGGTTGTGATCTGATGAAATTTGTGAGCCCCCCTTGTTCTCCTGTCCCCTTGAGTAAGGTACTCGGCTGATGGAATAGAGGTGTGCCCGTTTACGATCATGCACATCATGGTTAGCCTGGATTTTGCTCTACATTGTGCTAAAGATACCCAATTTAGTGATTGGATCATGGTTGTCACACAGCCAGGATCTCTAGACCTGTAGTCGTTGTGTACATATCGAGCAGCTCGACGTTGGACTGACTCGAGCAGCATGGTATTATCTGCAGTGTACGGGTCCCAGCAAGTGGACGCATACTCAATAGTAGGTCTGACAAGGATGGTGTAAGTCTGTTCTTTTACCTTTTTTGTGCAGGATGACATATTGCGTCGTAAAAAGCCTAGGGTCTTATATAATTATTGGATTTATTTACGGTAGAGTTGATGTGACTACTCCAACTCAGGTCAGAGGTGATATTGACTCCTAGATATTTACTGGCAGGAACGTTTTCAAGTGATTCATTGTGCAACGTATAGTTGTTCTTAATGGGCACTTTAAATTTGTTTTTGTGACATTTATAATGCAGCATTTACTGGCATTGAAGTTCATTTGCCATTTGTCCTCCCATGCCTGTAGATTGTCAAGGTCGGTTTGTAGAGCCTAGCTTGCAGTCATCAGGTGTTTTGATGTCTGTGTATCAATCTGCAAATAGCTTGATCTTGCATTTCACTGAATCTACGATGTCATTAATATAGACTAGAAATAACAGAGGACCAATCACCGTCCCCTGGGGCACCCCAGATAATACAGGGGCCGTCTCGGACTTAACACCATTTAATAAAACAAGCTGATCACGAGATTGTAAAAATGATCTTATCCAGGAGAGGGTGTTGTTTCTTATACCATAAGAGTTTAGCTTGGTCAGGAGTCGTTCATGGGGAATTTTATCAAACGCTTTAGAAAAATATAAAAGGGCTATGTCTTTTTGGGTTTTACTTTCTAAATTTCGACTGAGGTCATCAACGGTAAGTATCACTTGGAATTCAGTGGAGTGTTTGGATCTAAAGCCGTGTTGGTATTTAGTCAGAAGCAGTCTGTTTGTCTCCTTTTTTAAAAACAGGGACAATATGGGCTTCGCGCCAGTCCTTCGGCACTTCATCGGAGTCTTGTGAAATTTGGAAAAGTTTGGTGAGGGCCGGGGTAATTTCTAATGCAATGTCCTTCAGGACCCTTGCCGGGATGCTGTCTGGTCCAGTGGCTTTATGGATATTAATTTGCTTTAATAATTTAAGAACACCCTTTTCAGTAAATGCGATTTTTGGCATCGAGACAAATTGTCTGTCAGGGAGATTTGGCATGTGCGAGGTGTTTTCGCGGGTATAAATAGAATGAAATTGTTGGTTGAGAATATGGGCTTTTGTAGGGTCATCTGAGTATGTGATACCATCTGATGGGTTTCGTATTGGGGGGATGTTGGATGAGTCAATTTTCTTGCTCTTTATGTAGCTCCAGAACCTTTTTGGATTTTCTATGGCCTGTGGACTAATAATTTCCCTCATGTATTTGTTCTGGGATTTCCTGGTTTCTTTTTGCATGTGGGCTTTGATGGATCTGTATCTATCCCAGTCCTTAGTTGTCCTGGATTTTAATGCTTTGTTGTAGGCCCTACGTTTTTGTCTAGAAAGTTTGTTGATGTTATTGTTGTCCCATGGGTTGGTAGATTTTGACCTAGTGAGCTTGCTGGGGACATGCTTGTTGATTGCTGCTAGGATGGTTTGTTTGAAAATGTTCCAGGCTTGGTTAATGTCTAGGTTTTCTGTAATGATGTTATTTAGGTCATTTTGTATGTCAATGCGCATTTGGTTGATATTTGCTTTGCCCCAGAGTAGAATTGTTCTTCTGGGCTGTTTCTTGGGTGGGTTTGAAACTTGATTGTCGATCATGACAATTTTATGATCAGATACCCCTGGTATTGGCTTACATTTGTTCACTAGTGATGGCATGTTTGTTAGGAACAAGTCTAGGGTGTGGTTAGGTCGTGTTGGAAAATTGACTACTTGTTCTAGTGATAGGTCATTGAAGAGCGACAGAAACTGCTCATTCAGGACCTTGGGGTAGTTGTTACTGTTGATGCGGCCTTCTGGCCATGAGATGTCACTAAGATTGAAATCTCCTCCCAGCCAGAATTGGTGGTTAGGATGGTTGTTAACTAGGCTAGAGATTTCATCTATCGAGTCCTGTATGTAATTTGGACTTGTATAATTGGTGGTATGTAGTAAGCAGCTATGATGATTGGTGTTTGCTAAGTGAGTTGTATTTTGGCTGCGACTAGCTCAACTTTGTCGCTTCTATATGCAAGAGTAGCGTTCAGTTGCATATTTACGGCAACCATGACACCTCCACTTCGGGATTTTGTTCTGTCATTGCGGAATAGCTCATACTCGGAGGGAAAGACTTCCAGGTCCCCAATGTCTGGTTTAAGCCATGTTTCAGACCCAATGAATATATCAGGTTTGGATGACTCTATAAGAAGCATAGTATCGTGGCGTTTTGCCTTGACACTTTGAAAATTAACGACAAGCGTTCTTAGTGAATGGGTCGATTTAATTAGGTTTGGCGGTTTCTTTGCCTTGGATTTTGCAGGGATTGGAGAAGATGTTGCTCTTGGTGAAAGAGCATGGATATTTTCAAAAAATGAACTGGAGTTTGAGAGTGAATTTGAAGAACTGGATACAGGGCGATGAGCATCATTCTCGAGAAGTCCTGATCATGTGTTGTTGATGTTCTTAAACATGATGACATTGAAGACAATGTTACAGAGTCATACAGACAGTTGGATTTGTTAAAGTTAGCACATTTAGGGCATTTCCATGCCTCTGAAATGTGTGACTTGTTTTGGGACGAATTGTCTGCTAGGCAGTTGGAGTGAGCTCAGACATCGCAGTTGTCACAAACATGCTTGTCGTTATGGCTTTTGACGGGTTTGTAACAAATCATGCACGGAAATTTAGTTACATTAAGCGATTGACACTTAGGACACTTCCATGTTAGTGATGGGTGCTCGGCATGATGTGTAAATGCCTCCTCTGTCATGCTTATGCAGTCTAGGTGCACCCATTGGTTGTATTTGTCACAACCTAGGCTGTTTTGTTTCTCCTTCACAGCCCTACTACGTACAATACAGGGGAACTTGGCCCTGGGTCCAGGGTTCAGCTCGACCTGGTTGCTTAGTAGCAGCCTGATCAATAGATGGATGTTCCTGGCATTATCTGGAGTCAGAGAGTGCTTCTTGTAAGCGACTTCTCTTAGCCAGTAAAATATGGATATGTTGTTATTTATGTGGTATTTACTTACACATAAGATTTGTGTTGATGGTAGAACCACATAGTTGTGTACGACTTGGTTGGTACCTTCTGCCTGGAAGTATGTTGTATGCACAAAACTAAAGCATGGCGTATACTTGCTCGATAGTGTGATGGATGGTACTATGCTCGAGACGTCTATGCTAATATTTTGTAGGCGGGTGGGACGCGTATTCTGAGTTGTCCACTGTACAGCTTGCAACTGTAAATTGGCATTTGTGGTACTCATAAATACTAAAGAGTACCAAAGTAGACATGATATGACATAAATGACAGCAAACACGTGTAGCGTACTGTTGGTGTACATTTTCTGGTTGTGTTGTCCAGCTTGCCGTGTACGAAATAGGGATTTGTGCAGACAGTGATGAAAAATTGGGTGTTAGATAAAGCACAACAATGATTTAGTCAATCTTAGTCCCAAGGGTCGACTCTCGGGTACAAAATGAAACACAATACAATGATGAGACCTGAATGTTAGTGATGACAACAAATAAGGTAACTAAAAGATGGGAAAAAGCATGCAAGCAAGCTGATTTTTTGTTGTTTACCTACGACAAAACCGAAAGTGAATGTTTGAATATGGCGGGAGTTGTAGTGAAGCGAAAAAATACTACAACTGGGAATTATTGGACATATTCAGCAATATGGTGCAAGTAACACATGGTTGATTTCATAATAATGATTGGTAGCCAAAAGAAATCTGGACTGATTTTCGAGAAATTACTAGAAAAAGTGAATAAAATTAATAAAATTAATAGTCACTTCAGGTAATGAATTTGAAGCTAGCAAGGAGGTTAAATTTTAGTTCCAAGCATAATGGTTGCTGCCTGTACAACCGAATCTGGTAGGCTGTTCCAAAGGACGAGTCCAAAGGAGTATTTGCGGATATCCAATCTGGTGAATCTACAGTATTTTTTCTGTAGTTTTTGTGAGTTGCCTTTCGTTCTGGCTTCTATATAATAGTTGAATATGCCAGTAGTAACTTTATAATCATGAAAATTGTTCATAATTTTGTAAACGTTTATTATATCTCCTCTCAGTCTCCTATATATGTGAGTGTTGGAATCCCCAGCTTCTTCAGAGGCTCGCTATATGCTAGATCTTCGAGACCAGGAATTAGCTCTGTCGCCCTTCTTTGCACTCTCTCGATTGATTCAATGTGTTTCACCTTGTATGGGTTAGACACACTTGCGGCGTATTCCAAACGCGGGCAGACTAGTGCCCTAAATAGTTGTATAAAAGGTTTTTTTATCCAAGTAGACGAAAGATCTTTGAATTAGGCCAACAATACTGTTTGCCTTACTTATTGCGTGCTGTATGTGTGATGAAAAGTTCAAGTCCTTATCAACCAAAACTCCTATGTCCTTCTCGGATGTAATGTTTTCTAATCTCACTTTTCCTTCTGTTCCTGCCGTGTGATAACTTCTTGTTTCTGTTCCCTTTCCCTTTATTGTTCAAAATTTACACTTAAAGAGGATAGAATCTTAACAGCCAGGTGTTGGACCATTCCTGTAAATTATCCAAGTCCTGTTGCATTATTTATCCTGTCCTCTTCGCTCTTAATCTCTCTATAAATTTTTGTGTCATCTGCAAAAAGGTATGTGTTTGATACAGTACATATTTTTTGGCAAATCGTTTAATGTATATATTACAAACAGTATTGGACCCAGCACACTGTCCTGTGGAATTCCACTCAATATGGGGTGGTCTTTTGATGAAATACCATTTACTATTACTCTCTGCTTTCTCTGGTAAAGGAAGTTTTCTACCCAGTTGACAATCTTGTTATTAATTCCATAAATGACATTGATTTCACCACCGTTATCTATTGTATTGGTCCAGTCTTCAAGCACCATCAGTAGTTGCAGTCTGGTCGATCTTTTGGCAATAAATCTAAATTGTTTCTTGCTTAAAAAGTTATTATTTTCCATATGACTTACGATAGCATTCCACAGTATCTTTTCCATTGTTTTTCCTACTGTGCTGGTGAGGCTTACCGGTAGGTAATTTCCCGGATCCGATTTTGTTCCTTTCTTGAATATAGCTTTAATATTGGACTCCTTCCATGGAGATGGTACTACGCTATCTTTCAAGCATTGAACTGCTTTCAGTTGGCATTCATAGGCAATATGAATGCCAACTGGACAAAGGCAAATTCAATGAAGCGCAATGTTGGATTTGCTTTTGTCCAGTTATATAGTAACAATGCCATACGATGGTAAATATAGTTGAATATAATTCCTTCATAGTAATTCCTTCATAGCCTTAGGGTGCATTTGATCTGCTCCTTGGGATTAACTACTATCCAGCATTGAAAGTAGTTCACCTATGCTTTCCTCCGTATATATATAGGGTCTTCAAATACCTGGGTTACAAATTTATTTTCCATATTTGGTATGTCACCTGTAGGTTCACACTACTGAAAAAACTTGCTAAAACATCGGCTTTATCTTTATCGCTTGTTGCAACTTGGGACGTGTCTCCACTAGTACTGAGCCCTTTCAAATCCGAAATTCCAGTTTTAACTTTCCGTTTTGAGTTTATATACTTCCAGAACTGTTTGGGGTTAGTCTTAACATTTCCCGCAATATCCTTTTCCATATCACGACGTGCTTTCCTCAGCATAGACTTCACTTGATTTCTTAGCTTTGTATATTCTTCGTATTTGGCTTCCGATCTAGTTTCCATATACCTCTGCCAAGCCCTATGTTTTTTATTGATTTTCCTCCTCTCACCTTCCTTCAATGGAGTAAACCTTCGGTCTTTCATCTCTAGTGACCTATTTCCTGTAATTAATGGTACATATTTACTGACACTTGACTGGAAAATGTCTGCAAATTGTTTACACATATCATCAGCATCACCTGTCGATACCTTGTCCCATTTGACTTTCTCCGGTTCTTTTCTCATACTCTCTTCGTCTCCTTTGTTGTAATTTCTGCACGGTACTTAACTAACAGGATACTTGTTACAGCATATGTATTCAAATAATAATACAAAGTGGTCACTATGACCGAGAGGACTTTCATACTTTATGTCCTTTATCATTTCATCCTCGTTTGTTATTATCAGGTCCAATATACTCGGTTCGCAACCCACTCTCATTCTGGTGAGGTTCCTTGTATGTTGAGTCAAAAAGTTATATTATCTCTTAGACATTCTATAAAATTTTCGCTCTCTTGATCATTTCTTGCTGACTGTGAATTCCGATCAATTTTCTGGAGGTTGAAGTCTCCCATAATCAGTTTTATATACGAGTGTATTCTTTTGTTAACATTGTTACAGTACAGTATTGATTTAGCCAACTTAAGTTGTTCTTTTAATTTTTTCAAAAAAGAATATTTAGATGAACACTTTACAATTACATAGACACCTCCTCAAATCCACTTAGCTAGCAAGTGTCGTTCGTTCATTCCTACATCATCAACATAGGCCTACCTGGTAGTCATCATCCTCCTGACATAACACCTAACGTTATGTATGGAGGCAGGACCCAAATCGGATCAGTACCCAAATTGGATCATTCTTTGCAAAAATCCTTTTTGTTTACATTTTAAAAAATGGCACATGCGAGGACCGTATATACAGTGTTTCAGACTGTAGGGAAAACATTCAGAATATAGAAATACTTGTATTCATTCAAATTCCAAAGATCATAAAATGTTCAAATGCAGACAAAGAAATATTTATTTGAAGCGCAAAATATTACAAAATTCAAGCTGTGATCAACTCTTCAATATTCTTCTTTTGATACAACCATAAACTTTTGTAGTGTATCCGCTGAATTTTCAATGAATGAGGAAAATGATGGTTTGGTGATCCATTTTGGGTACCTATATACTGTCACCTTACGCCCAGAGTGGCCAGGGATTCGAACCTAGGAACCTCAAAACTCAAGACGGATGCTCTATCAATGTATCTGGTCACTGACAATTGACCCAGTCTAGTTACAATTCGCTACAAATACATAGATTCTACTTAAGCCTTTACTTAAGTATCACCAATTAAGTTTATAAGTCACCTAGGAGATTGGATGGTCATCCTAAATTTCAACTCCTTCAGGATAAGTAATTTAAAAAAAAAAGTCCAATAAACATCAGATATGTAATTTGGATATATTGAACTTGTACTTTGACTCCAGTATAAAAAAACATGTCAATGTCTTTCATGACCGAACCAAATGCTACGAAATGACATGTTATCTATAGTTCATGCAGAGTTTATTTTTTTCTCTTTTACTAGCTGTGGAGAGGAATACTGGCTAAAGATTGATGTTGCCATGTAGAACAATTAAGATCATATATATATATTTTATTTTTTTCTCATGCACTAATACAAATTGTATAGTTTGAATTTATTTCTCCTGAACAGACAATAAAGAAGATTAAAACGTCCTCCTTGAATAACATTGAAGCAAGGATGGCAAGTTCAGGTGAGTGGATCTATCAATTTCTCTGCCCCTACCAGATATCCATCATCTTCCTTATATTCAGTATGTCCTCTCTCTAACTCTGGAGAGTTGACAGGTTTATCCACAGTATTTCTCCTGGTGTGAGATTAATATAATCTTCCCAACCCAAGGGGTAAGATTCTTAAATGTCAAGCCTGAGGCTTTGTCAAAGGTCCAGACATTGAAGAATCTTACCCCTAGGGTTGAGATATTTCTGTCTTACTCCTAAAGTGGGGAATAATTATTTGTCTTCCACATCAAATAGAAGTGGTACTTTCATGAAATGCAAATGTTTATTTAATAATTTCAGGCTGATTGGAATTATCTTCCATGATCTGCTATTTCGGAATTGTTGATGTGACGTCATTGCATTATTGATGTCATAAAACTGTTATGACAGGGGAATCCCCCCAGTATTTACCCTAGAATAAGAAATATTTTTCCCTGACAAAAAGTGTGGACATCTCTGTCTAATGGAGGAGAAATCCTTGTCTGTCTCCCCCTATGGTTGAGATGATGGGATTTCCAACATAACAATTGTATCATGTCATTTAAAAAATACATTACATCACATGAACAGTAGTAGTGCAACATCATCAGCCCATAACAGGGTCAACAGAGTAGGGGAAAAATAACCATTCAGGTCACCCATACCCCCCATCCCCCAACACTATGCAAGTCTTGTGTTTGGCAATTTTTAATCAAGAATCTTGCCTTTCGGGTTGAGATGCGATTCTCTCATCCCAAAAGGGATAAAAGATTCTATTGAATGTGTGATTAATATATGTGCAATGGTTGAGCCTGTGTGTAAAGTGTATATAACTTGAGTGTGCAATGGTTGAGCCTGTGTGTAAAGTGTATATAACTTGAGTGTGCAATGGTTGAGCCTGTGTGTAAAGTGTATATTAAACTTGAGTGTGCAATGGTTGAGCCTGTGTGTAAAGTGTATATAACTTGAGTGTGCAATGGTTGAGCCTGTGTGTAAAGTGTATATAACTTGAGTGTGAAAATTGCAAGTGTTAGTAGGTCATGCAGTCACTCTGATGTGTATTTTTTTTAATCTGGTATCATATGTGATAGTTATTTGAACTCGTATATATATACAAAGATTTATTTATATATCTATTCAATCAATAAAATGATTATCAAGAATATTTCCCACTTTAATTGGCTTACATGTTTATAACAGAGATTTATTTTGTTACCTTAACATTTTATATGTATCTATATTGGAATACCAGAAGCAGGTACTGAAAAAAACTATGTAGAGTTTGCCTGTTGTCTATTTCAATTGTGTATCATTTTTATGTTTAAGTATGGTAGAAAATTTGTTGAAATGAAAGATTCTGTTAGTCCCACATGAGGGTAGGATTTAATTTTATCTATTACATCATGGTCCTGAAGTTTTTTCTGATCTTATATCAGAGAAGAGAAATGCATGGCCAGACTGGCATTTGAACCCGTAACCTCCAGACTCTAGACGAACGCTTTACCAATTGATCGAGCTACCTGGTTTCTGGCATTGACCCAGTCCAGTTCTATGTTCTTCTCTCCTTTTTCTAAGTCCTCTACCCCTCCCCCCAATGCCAAGCTTTCATCTAATACTTCATACAAGGGTTGGTCACTGGCACCACAGTTACAGAAGTGATATGCTCGGCCAGACCGGGATTCTAACTTGTGACCTCCGAACACTAGACCTACACTCAGCCAAAATTGAGCTACCTGGTCAACGGCGATTGACCCTGTCCAGTTCAGCTACAATATGATAGAGTTAGTTTAGGGGTTAAGTTGACTCTGTCCAGTTCAGCTACAATATGATAGAGTTAGTAAAGGGGTTAAGTTGATCCTGTACAGTTCAGATACAATATGATAGAGTTAGTTTAGGGGTTAAGTTGATCCTGTACAGTTCAGCTACAATATGATAGAGTTAGTTTAGGGGTTAAATTGACCCTGTCCAGTTCAGCTACAATATGATAGAGTTAGTAAAGGGGTTAAGTTGATCCTGTACAGTTCAGATACAATATGATAGAGTTAGTTTAGGGGTTAAATTGACCCTGTCCAGTTGAGCTACAATATGATAGAGTTAGTTTAGGGGTTAAGTTGACCCTGTCCAGTTCAACTACAATATGATTGAGTTAGTTTAGGGTTAAGTTGACCCTGTCCAGTTCAGCTACAATATGATAGAGCTAGTTTAGGGGTTAAGTTGACTCTGTCCAGTTCAGCTACAATATGATAGAGTTAGTAAAGGGGTTAAGTTGATCCTGTACAGTTCAGCTACAATATGATAGAGTTAGTTTAGGGGTTAAGTTGACCCTGTCCAGTTCAGCTAGAATATGATAGAGTTAGTTTAGGGGTTAAATTGACCCTTTCCTGTTCAGCTACAATACGATGGAGCTAGTTTAGGGGTTAAGTTGACCCTGGCCAGTTCAGCTACAATATGATAGAGTTAGTTTAGGGGTTAAGTTGGCCCTGTCCAGTTTTGCTGCAATATGATAGAGTTAGTTTAGGGATTAAGTTGGTCCTGTCCAGTTTTGCTACAATATGATAGAGATAGTTTATGGGTTAAGTTGACTTAGTTTAGGGTTAAGTTGACCCTGTCCAGTTCAGCTACAATATGATAGAGCTAGTTTAGAGGTTAAGTTGACCCTGTCCAGTTCAGCTACAATATGATAGTGTTAGTTTAGGGGTTAAGTTTGTCCTGACCAGTTCAGCTACACTCTATGATGGAGTTAGTTAAGGGTTAAGTTTACCCTGTCCAGTTCAGCTACAATATGATGGAGTTAGTTAAGGGGTTAAGTTGACCCTGTCCAGTTTGCTGCAATATGATAGAGTTAATTTAGGGATTAAGTTGGTCCTGTCCAGTTTTGCTACAATATGATAGAAATAGTTAATGGGTTAAGTTGACCCTGTCCAGTTCAACTACAATTTGATGGAGTTAGTTTAGGGTTAGGTTGACCCTGTCCAGTTCAGCTACAATATGATAGAGCTAGTTTATGGGTTAAGTTGACCCTGTCCAGTTCAACTACAATATGATAGAGTTAGTTTAGGGGTTAAGTTGACCCTGTCCAGTTCAGCTACACTCTATGATGGAGTTAGTTAAGGGTTAAGTTGACCCTGTCCAGTTCAGCTACAATATGATGGAGTTAGTTAAGGGGTTAAGTTGACCCTGTACAGTTCAGCTACAATATGATGGAGTTAGTTAAGGGTTAAGTTGACCCTGTCCAGTTCAGCTACAATATATTGGAGTTAGTCTAGGGGTTAAGTTGGCCCTGTCGTGTTTCGCTACAATATGATAGAGTTAGTTTAGGGGTTAAGTTGACCCTGTCCAGTTCAACTACAATATGATAGAGTTAGTTTAGGGGTAAGTTGGCCCTGGTTAGTGTTTTGTACTTTTAAATAATCATATAAGCAAATGTTATCTATATCTATAACAGGGTACCCTTCAAGCTTCACAAGTATAACTACAGAACAAGTGCGGGATCTCAGAATCAAGAAATTAGGAGGTGGAAATGGTGATATAACTGGCAATAGTGAGCATGCTGCAGTACAACCATCTGGTAAACAAGAGACTGGTGAAGATCAACTCCACACACCCATGGACACTTCAACCAACAGATCTACAGGTTATATTGGTAAATTGACATACAAGTACAGCATTGTGATAAATCATATTCTTTGAATTCTGGATTTTCTTTCAAATGGAACGAAACTAAAAACAGAACAATACTCAAAATCAAACACTTTTAATATATATATATGATGCAGCATTTTAATTTTTCAATACAAATGAATTGCTTTTTATTCTTTATCAAAATTATCAAAATTGCATATCTGAAAAATTGCTCATAAACTCAATTGAAATATTTAAAAAATGAAATGAAAAAAACCCTTGGGAAACGGTATGGTGCGACAACATAAATATCCTTCAAGTTTCTAAACATGGAAAAATATTTGATCAAATGAGTGTTTCTTTAAATATATGACTAAAATTTGTCAGAATTGGTCAAAACCTTTATGAAATGGAGAAAAATATTTTAAATGATGTCTGTTATTTCCATAAACTGACTTGTTTGATGAGGTGTTCCATTTTGGGTACTCAGCCAGCTTACACTTCAAAGTGATTCCGACTCAACAAAATGAGCTCTATGAAAAGACACATGTACTGTTGATATCAAGATATACAAAATGTGGAGACTAAAGGCATCTATTGTTTCATTACAGTAAAAGATTTGGTGTTACAGAAAACTTAATAGGATTTTTATTTTTATTTTTTTAAAGTGTCCCTTTTTAGCTCACCTGCCCGAAGGGCAAGTGAGCTTATGTCAACTTAAACAACTTCTTCTGAAGAACGGACAGGCCTAGAGTCATGATATTTGGCTGAAAGCTTTGTTGGTAGGAGCCCAACAAAGTTTGAGAACGAAAATGACCTTGACCTACTTTCAAGGTCATAGGGGTCAAATATGTCAAAAACTTCAAATGACTTCTTCTGAAGAACTAAAAGGTATAGAATCTTCATATTTGGCAGATGGCTTCCTGGAATGGAGCTCAACAAAGTTTGAGAACGAAAATGACCTGGACCTACTTTCAAGGTCACAGGGGTCAAATGTGTCAAACACTTCAAACGACTTCCTCTGAAGAACTGAAAGGTATAGAATCTTTATATTTGGTTGGTAGCTTCCTGGGATATTGCCCAACTAAGTTTTAGAATGAAAATGACCTTGACCTACTTTCAAGGTCACAGGGGTCAAATATGTCAAAAACTTCAAACAACTTCTTCTGAAGAACTAAAAGGTATAGAATCTTCATATTTGGCTGATGGCTTCCAGGGATGGAGCTCAACAAAGTTTGAGAATGAAAATTATCTTGACCTACTTTCAAGGTCACAGGGGTCAAATGTGTCAAACACTTCAAACGACTTCTTCTGCAGAACTGAAAGGTATAGAATCTTCATATTTGATTGATGGCTTCCTGGGATAGAGCCTGACAAAGTTTGAGGATGAAAATGACATTGACCTTCTTTCAAGGTCACAGGGGTCAAATATGTCAAATGCTTCAAACAACTTCTTCTGAAGAACTGAAAAGTATAGAATCTTAATATTTGGCAGGTGGCTTCCTGGGAAAGAGCCAAACAAAGTTTGTGAATGAAAATGACCTTGACTTACTTTCAAGGTCACAGCAATCAAATATGTCAAATAGTTCAAACTACTTCTTCTGAAGAATTAAAAGGCATACAATTATAATATATAATATAGTAGCTTTAAGGAATAGAGCTAACCAATTGGAAAAGGAAAATGACATTGACCTACTTACAAGGTCACAGGGAAAAATATGTCAAGCAACTTCTGAAGAAGAATCAAAAAGCATAGAATCTTATAATAATATTTTGCTGGTAGTTTTAACAGATGGAGCCAACAAAGTTTGCGAGGGAAATATTTTTAGTGCAATGTAATATTTAATGAGAATATTTTGCTATGACTGCTTAAATATTCAGGTGAGCGATACAGGCCCTCTTGGGCCTCTTGTTTGGATACCTCACCTAGCTGAGCAACAGCTGCATGTAATTGGTGTTTGGTATAGGTCAATTCTACAAAACCTCGTCCTGACAGGTGTTGTTGTATTTGTTGGTACAGTACCATGTTAAACAGAAATAATGTTTACAATTTACTAACCAAACAAATATATTATCAAGACCATTATCGAACCAATTCACAAGAGACACTTATTTTATATCCTATTGCAACCTTAACAGGAACTGGAATTCAGAGATCTGCTTAGTACAGAAGGGAAAAGGCACAAAAATTTAATTCGATCTTCTCTGTTTTCATTATATTTAAGATATCTTGTTTTAGGGACCTTGGAGATACTTGTAATTTGATGTTTTCTGTTCTTTATTCTGTTTTAGAAGTTGACGGTGAACCCCCGATGACAAATGTAGCAGGGGCCTGTGCCCGTACCCATCAGATGGCCATTACTGGGACAACCTTGGGAAGGGACCCTGAAACCTACCTTTGCGATTCTGTGGGTAAGACTTGTGTGTTTCATCCAACAACTGGCTCTCAGACAGTGGGCCACCTCAGACAGCCAGAATGTGCAGATTTGATTGATGATGGATGTTGTAACAGTCATATTACTTTGATATACGCTAGTTTAATGTGTATTGTGAAAAGATGGGTGTTCACAAACTGTTTTTTCTTTTAGCCTGAGAATAATTTAAAAGAAACACCATTAAAAGATAAAAAAAATCAAGATTTCTGACAATTTCTGATTAAAATTATTATTGGAAAAAAAGGCGGGACATGCTTAATCTCCGAACACAGCACTGCATTAAATTGAATGTGTGTGAAGTTTTTTTGTCTTAGGTTAGATTTAAGTTGAATTAATAATAAGTGTCCTCTCTCCTGTCATGTTTACCCACAGGTTGGCAGTTTTACCTTGACTACTTGGCCTCCAAACTTTCTGCAGAAATTTCCGAGATATCTGTTTACTTGGATCTAGAGTCTGGAAAATTGGATGAAATTAAAAACAGGTGCAAGTCAAACCGTCATGAAATGTGCTTCAATGTTCTATGGACGTGGTATGGAAGGAATCCAGACAAGAAGAAACGCCTTAAGCAAATGAACACTGCCTTAAAGGAGTCAGGTCGCGCAGACCTGGCCCAGCAACTGATGGAAGGAAATGTTCCAGTTCCAGAAAACTATAGGTACCAGGGTGAGATTAAAAACCCTGATGCGGGAGTTAGCGGTAGCGATGCCCTCAAAGTCGGAAAACATTTGACCCTGACTTTCCAGAGTCTGGCACGTTATTTTGGACTAGATGAAAACAATATTCAGAGTATCTGCATTGACAATAATGATGACATACAGGAACAGTCATACAACACCATAAAGTTGTGTATCAACCAACTGAAGCTCAAAAACCGACGGCAGCTGTGTAATGGCCTCGCTTACCTAGAACAATTCACAACTGTATCAGAACTTAACCAGATGTGGTGACCTCGTTCCTATATGTGCCTTAATAAATCATTAAACATAATCATTGAATGAGACGCTAAAAAATTATATATTTTTGAAGTGAAGTCACTGGCGAATGACCTGGCTCGAGATCAGTATTTTCAAATCGTTTACCTGTATTTCGAGGTTTAACCCTTAAATGATGACACTCAAAACACTGTGCATGACACATCGGATTCAGGTGCACAGCAAAATTTAACCCCCGCGAATATCTACTGAATATGAAACCGCGAAATATTGACCGCACAAATTTAAAGCGCTTTACAGTAATCGGAAGTGAGAACTCAGTGAAAACTTTATGCATTTACTTCAAATAACTGCTTTTTAGCCCACCATCATCTGATGGTGGTCTATTCGAATCGTCCTGCGTCCGTGGTCCGCCCGTTCGTCTTTCGTCCTTCGTCCATCCTTAAACAATTCTTGTTATCGATATTTCTGGGGTTCTGGAGAGATCTTTTCTCAAATTTCATATGTAGGTTCCCCTTGGTCGGTAGTTGTGCATATTTACTTTTGAGACTGATCAGATAAACGAAATGGCCGACAGACAACCATCTTGGATTTTGACAGTGAAGGTTTGGTATGGCTATTTCTCAGGAAGTACTGGAGAGATCTTTCTCAAATGTTATATGTAGGTTCCCCTTCGTCCCTGGTTGTGCATGTTTAATTTTGAGACTGATTAGATAACAAAATGGCCGACATGCAGCCATCTGGGATTTTTACAGTGAAAGTTTGTTATCGCTATTTCTGAGGAAGCACTGGAGGAATCATTCTCAATTGTTTTATGTAGGTTCCCCTTGGTCTGTAGTTGTGCATATTTACTTTTGAGACTGATCAGATAAACAAAATGGCCGACATGCAGCCAGCTTGGATTTTTACAGTGAAAGTTTCTTATCGCTATTTCTTAGGAAGCACTGGAGGGATCTTTCTCAATTGTTTTATGTAGGTTCCCCTTCGTCCCTGGTTGTGCATGTTTAATTTTTAGAATGACCAGATAAACAAAATGGCCGACATGCAGCCATCTGGGAATTTTACAGTGAAAGTTTGTTATGGCTATTTCTTAGGAAGCACTGGAGGGATCATTCTCAAATTTTTCATGTAGGTTCCCCTTGGTATGTAGTTGTGCATGTTTTCTTATGAGACTGATCGGATAAGGTTTGTTAGTGCTATTTCCCAAGAAGTACCGGAGGGTTCTTTCTCAAATTTTATATGCAGGTTTCCCACTGTCCTTTATTGTTCATGTTTACTTTTGAAACTGATCAGATAAACAAAATGGCCGACCGGTGGCCATCTTTGATTTTTGACATTTAGTGCTATTTCTCAGGAATAACTAGAGGGATCTTAAATTTTATATGTAGGTTCCCGTTGATCCCTCGTTGTGCATGTTATATTTTGAGATTGCATGATCATAAAAACAAAATTTGTCCGAAGGAAGAACTCTAACAGATCTTTCTCATATTGCAATGATCGGTTCTGTTTCTTTCACATTAAATACTGTACGAGTAAATATGTAAAATGACAAAATCACTTTGAAGGTTGTCTTTTATACACAGCAGTATTAAGTTTAGATCAAAAGTTACCTCAAGGTGAATTTACTGTTAATATGACTCGATCAAACAGATTAGAGAAAAGAGGAGAGAAAAGATCGAACTGACAAAGAACTAATGAAGATGGTACAATGGTGGGCGCCAAGATCCCTCTGGGATCTCTTTTTTTTATATATGATAGTGCTTTAAAGGATTTTACCTTGTTTCACTTAATACAAATCAAATGTCATTTTGAATGAACATGAAATAATATATCTGAAGAGATGTCTGTGATTGAAAGCATAGCCATGGAAATGTTGCCCTGTCAAACTTTTGCTCGTTGCTAGCAAAATGTCCTTATTTACTTAACTCAGTGTCAACTTTGTCCTTAAAAAGGAGAGTTAAACTGGGGAATAGGGGGGGCAGGGGATTGGGAGAGGGGCAAAAAAGGTGAAAGTTTAACTGGGGCGAAAATTACAAGTATGCAGTATAAACTCAACACAATTAATTATATAATGTGATAGCTTAGCTCTACTGGCTACGCTAATTGATTTCAAAGCAAAGTGTCAATGTGGTATGCATAAATTACTGCTTATTTATATAGTATAATGGATAATGTCACAGTATTCTGTGTTCAAATTCCAGCAAACTGTGAATACGGCATGAAAATCTAGTTCCTGAACTCAGGATTGCATTGTTTTATACACCCTTCAATGAATTCATCATTGACTACCCTGTGTAGCTTCAGGGGAAGTAACTCTTTTCATGACTGTAAAGGGCAACTTATGTAGGGCCCCATCAGAATCAGAAATTTTCTTCTTTGTCCTCTGCTAGGCGATATTGAAGGAGCTAGAATTTCCTACTTTTTGTTTCTTTTGATATTTTGAAAATATATTAGTGTAACATGCATGAAAATTGGGGAAAAAAACCATCTGCCCAAGGTTCTTGTTTTTACTGTGCGGAATGGTTTTATATTCACAAATGATTTTATTGACATCTTTTTGATAACAAATTCACAAATTTTATCATTGGTATCTACCTACACTGTATCATAAAGTATACATCAAGTATATCAAAATAAAATCATCTCATATACTTTTCTTGGTGTGTGTTTTCTTTCTGAGAAGATATCCTTGGTGGAACATTGTAAGTTTTGACAGTGTAATATAGACAAAGAGTTCGACATATTATGATGCAAGTCTTTCACAGGAAATCTGGAGTAGGCTGGTTCTATAATGTTTCAATACTGTCTATTTATTTATAACAGCTTAACAATTTCATTAAAAATGATATTGTTTTCTAATTTGTTACTTGTATTAGATATAGCGAATTGTCTTCTTTTCTTTAATATTTTCTGTTATATCTGTCTCTTTGATTGGAATATCAAAGTAATTCACTGTCTCCGATTGCAATACATGTATCACAATTAAACCTCAACCATTTATTGGATATTCTAATAAATCTCTGGTATATTTGATTGTTTTCTAAGGGTAAGCTTCAACTTCATTGATTCAAGTTCAACCTAAATTGTAGGGACTGATAAATATAGTTATGTGTATATTTGAAACTTCCAATTATTCCTAATAAACTTAGGAACCAAAGGTTTAATAAGAGACTGATTTTCCAAGAAATTTTATTCATGCAGTTACAAGAAATGCCAGTAGAAAACAAGTTAGTGTGCAGGGCAGCATTGGTAATATTCCTGTCAATAATACTGTGGAAGGTATCCTACCTTCGACAAGGTTTTGGAATATGGGTTTATTCGTAAGTGGGTACCACAGCGTATCCCTGTATGTGTAAGTCTTCTTTCAACCATCTCATGAGGTGTCATTCCTGGTAATAACTGGATTAACGACTTGGTCTTCATCCTCCTGTATCTTTTGAAACCCTGTATTGTATGTTCGTCAGCAGTCGACATCTATCTGAGGAAATCATGATTTTCGGAGTAAGCTCTTTGATGCTGAAGGTTGGAAAGTAGGGACCTTACTTTCAAGAAAGTGAAAATTCATAATCTGAAGTCGATTCGTCACGCTTGTTATACAGCTTAAAAGTAAGCCGTTTTTCATGGTCGTGTGGTAAGTCAATATCGAGAATAGCGGTTTATGTGAAATAGTCTGTAGATGTCCTTGATTTTAAGTTCAGAAAGGTATTAGGTCAGCTCTTCGTCGGTTTAACTGAAATTGAAACTGAAATAATTGTTAACTCTCAATATATTCAGACAAATATATAAAACAAACAAAAAAAGTCGACCAGAAGAGGAACACAGTTTGTTCTTACAGTCTGCTGTAAAATGTTGCCACATAACTCTACAGAGATATTGCCAACCCGGATCTATATGTAATAAGTCTGTGTTCTTACGATTGCATCCTCAGTATCTTCCTTCTTTACATGTGTAGTGTTTTGTTTTCACAAAATATGCCCAAAACAGTTTACAAGCATAAATGATGGAATCTCGATATATACGAATGAAGGCGTCCATTCAGATTGGTGAGCCCGAGTTTCCTCTGGCCCTGACACTAGACTTTGACATTTTGACAGATAGATGTCTGGTGTGGGATATCTATCAAATTGTCTTACTCTGGTGTCGAGTCCACAGGAAACTCGGGCTACAGTTTGTTATGAGGTATGATAATGTAACAATTAAATGTTCTGATAGAAGACAAGTTTTTGAGTGTCGAGTTCTTCAAAACCCACATTTCTCTAGAATAAGCATTGTCATAATACAACAGTACTTAACCATGATTTAATCGTTTACAGAATGACAGAAATAAATTAAGATAGCTTGGATGAGCAACAAGTAGAGCCAGCAATTAAAAGTTGTGTATATAAGGATTCTTTCAAGAGATGTTTCGGAATCCCTCACAAACAAGGTAGGTCCTGATCCTGATCACTAACTGGTCTCAGACGCTAAAGATAGCAAAAAACAAAAATAGGATTAGCTACGGTAGTATGTTGTCTTTCGAAGAAATGGAAAAAAGTATGGGCTGTGTTTCCTTGATCCAATTATTTGTGCATGCAGGAAATGCTATAGTGTTTGCAGACGAAATAAGTTAATTATTAGATGTTTTGTTTGTTGACATGAATATATACTAATAAAGCGGTATTTTGCAGAACATTTGTTACTAATATCACTGATTGATTTGTTTCCATAATACATTGATAACGTAGTTGAATAACAGTGAGAAAATATCACGTTTGAACTTTGTATTCGGCATTGCGGCACGCTAGCTATATAGGTCGTTAGACTATACCACGTACATACTCGCCTGTGTACACACGGGGTGGATACATACGTGCTGTTCTGTGAAAATATTGTCTATTTATAAATCTGGCTATTTTAATAAACTTCCTGCATTACCTGAGGCCAGTCAAACCAGGCATTACAGGTAACTCCGAATACGTTTTAACAATTGCCTATCTTTTTTCACTTATCCTAACTGTCTTCTAATGAATTCTTGAAGACGACATGAACTTAATTGAGTTTGTGTGTATATAATGTTGATAAACAACGGAGTTGACTTAACTTTCACTTTGTAAATTCCGTTTTGGGTTTAGAATTTACGGTTTCCTTACTGATTTAGTTTATTTTAAGACCATGTTATCAATATAAAGTACACCAATTACCAGTTGAAATGCGTAAACAATATATCTTGAAAACCTTGAAGTCGTGTTTTCTGAAATAATTACTATTACCGACAAGGGACAGTAAATTCAAGCACCTCTGCTTCTGGTCCAGAAATTAGATTAAATATTTGTAAACATCTAAACATAAATATATATATCAAAAAGTATATTTCTTACGTTTTGCATTTTTATAATATCTACAAAGCGAAAGAAGACACAAGCTTTTAAGTCTATACCCCTTTTGTTCCCCAAAGCTAAATAATATAACTTCCTGTTTGTTTGACAAGATATTCTGTCTTACATCTAGCACTTTTGGTGACAGAACAGAAGTAGGTAAGTATATATGACCTAGCCATATGAACCACTATCCTATTGTACAACATGTCTGAGTACAGTCTAACATATCTTCACATACAAGTATTAAGAAGGGGTTGATCAGAAGACAATTACTTTCTTACAATCTGTTGACACTTGATCAGGAGGTCAATTTACTTATAGAAAGAAATTTGGTGACCTACAAAGGGAGAACAATACAAAACTGTTCAGAAAATAAGAACAGGGGTTAACGGTGATTTTAATGAAGGATATGTATGTCATGTTAATTTTTGCAGCAACAACGTGTCACACATTTATAAACAGTCAGGTGATAGGACATGAACACAATTACTGTAATCAAATATAGCAAACATTTAAGGCAAGGTAACAACATGTGTTACTTATATCACTGATTGATTTGCATACCACATATATTACATGTAATAACGTAGTTGAATAGCAGTGAGAAAATATCACGTTTGGACTTTGTATTTACTGTTCTGCACGCTACTTTGTCAGACTAACCATATACGCACTCACGTGTGTATTTCTGTGAAATACTTGTCTATTGATAAACCTGGCTATTTAAAGAAACATCTTGCATAACCCGAGATCAGTCAAACCAGGCTTTACAGGTAACTCAGTTTACTTTTTTAACACTAACCTATCTTTTTCACTTATCCGAAATGTCTTCTAGTGAATTCTTGAAGGCGACATGAACTTAAATGAGTTGGTATGTGAATATATTTTTGATAAACAATGGAATTGACTTAACTTTCACTTTGTAAATTATGTTTTGGGTTTATAATTTACGGTTTCCTTACTGATTTAGTTTATTTTAAGAACATGTTATCCATATAAAGTATTCCAATTACCAGTTGAAATATGCATACATTCCGTAAAACAAACAAACGTAATTAACGTTGTTTCCGGTCGTCGTAAATAGGTGTGTTATGTTTTTGTTACGATTCTAAAATCCAGAATATACAAATAATAATTATGATTGTCATTTATTTGAAATTTCAATCCGTGATATATAATAGCATATAGTGACTCAAGTTGTAGTTCAATTATGTGGGTTGACGTTAAGAAAAACAGCAATAACAAAGTAATAACACGTTTGACTGAATTATCTATCAAATTCATGTCACATTCATTCGGTTCTGATTTCACTGTATATTGTTATAAATTGTGTCGGACAAATATTGACTATTTAGTTCGATCCTGATAGAGTTGATATGTTCTCCAAAGGTGATAAAAGTGAATATGCTAGACTATTTATTTAAATTATTTCAAAAATATTGAAAGCGTCACAGAAACAGCGATGTATTTGACAAATTCCGGCTTCAGCTTATGTATTAACATCTACCTCAGCACGACAACATTTTATACTCATTACAAATCTACAACCATTGCGATGACTTTTATTTCACAATAATTACCTTTCCTTTCCTCAGTAGCAATATTCCAGCCTCCTTTGCTAAAAAAAACCCCGATACTTTACAAAGATAGCATAATTAGAAGCTTAATTATGAAATATGGCTAACATACTTTACATACTTAATATACCTATTGTATTTCCAGATTGGAGCCAAAATGAACACTCGTGATGAAGCTCCTACTGATTTAACTTCCTCTTCAACCGTTACAGGTAAATTTACTTAATATGTATAATTTACGTACACGTTAACGTACAGTGGTACCTTAGTATAATGGACTTTGAATTTGGAATTATAACTTCAAAGCAATCAGTTGTCTGGTATCAGCTTATACTTACATTTGCTATGTATCCTTCCATTGCAATGTATTGAGAAGGCAAATGTTGTTATGAGACTATAACAACATTTGCTATTATGACGTCATCAATTTTATTGTTGTCAACACTTAATTTGCTGTTCAGAAATTGTCATATGAATATACAAATATACCGGGCTTTATTAAGTTTGTCATCAATAGCAATGTGTGTTATAGCACCATAGCAACATTTGCTAAAATATTTATTGTCTGATTATTGTATAAGACACGAGATACAACAAGTCTAGTATAATTGTGTGGTCTAATTGATATTGAATAAGAAACATCAGTTGCAGGTGAATTTTAAATGATCTGTCGTACGTCAACAACTTATGTACAGAACATAATAATTAGCTTATTGTTAACCTATTATGATTTTATCTTATGAACATATCTAATCGCATTTTAGTAACGCAAACATTTTAACAAACATCTACAGTACATGGTTGAAGATGTTTTATGCATGGTGTTTTTTTGGAGCAATTAATACATATACTTATGATTATAATCTTATTATTGTCATATATCAACCTCAATTCAAACGCATAAACATATGTTTGTTTGTCGACTGTCATATAGTATCCTACCGTGGGTATCGTTACATGAGTATTGTTTTGATTATGATGTACATATAAACATGGCTTATATATTTGAATATCATTTTGTTTATACGATGCAATGTGTAAGGATGATTCAATTACTCAAATCTGTTGATTTTTAACATTTCAGTTGATGACGCTGGTGCCGTAGGTAAGAATCTGTTCATCTGAAGCCAAAACTCATAATAAAAGGAAATATTATACATTGTATTATACAATCATTTTTCGTCATTACATCTTATGTTTTTGTTTGGTTCCTATTTGGTTTCCAGTTGGTTTTATTGTGTGTCCAAGCTCTTTTGTTATTTTCTCACATATTTTACAGCAGTTACATGTCTATACCGTATTGAAATGTATGCATTTGTTGATAACACGCAGGCTACTTATGCCTTTTAAGAATGAGCATACGACTTATTTGTGTTTGAGCACGTTATTCCTGTCATTTAACACAAAAGTAATATTGTCCTCTATGTTTTTATCATATGGACATATTAAATCACTTGTTGAAATGGAACTATCTTTTTCTTAGTCCCGTCTGGAAGTTCAGCCGCCTCTCAAAAAGAGCGTTTCCCTGGACAGGGAATCTCGTTGGGTGATGGAGCTCAATTACCAATGGAAGGTATGCTTACCTGTTTTCCTGTTCGTTTTATTTTTCATTTTTATACGAAGAGCCCTGCCTTTAAGTCGCGTCGTGACCTGCGGACGTCCCAATCGTGGTCGGTCGGCAACCCTTCCGATGTCTCTCAGACGACGGAAAAGACGTTGTAGGGGGGAAACATTCACGCGAACGGCATATCGACTTGTTGTCGCATTTGACCTTGTATTGTAGCAATGGAGTAGCCTGACCCTCTGAGCTTCCATCAGCCGTACCATGATTGCAAATCAAAATGACAGTAAATAGCAGATAGCGATGTGTATACCTCAAGAGTATCAAGTGGTTTGACCAGATGTTTTGACGAACTTGTAGTCATTTTTCTGCACTTTTTTTAGACACCGGTTTGAGTGAACAGTGACCACCATACTCATCTAACCGGTTTTTATAATTTTAGGCCAAGCAGTTCAAGCATTGTTGCATATTTTGGTACCCTGCGTGACTTTATCCTTTCAGTATATTATGCAGAAATGGTACCCAAGAATGTACAATTTCAACATTTTGAGATTAAAATAAGAAGAAAGAGTTTAAAATAAAACAGAAAGATCAATACAAAATATCAAAAAGCGGATAACATTTCATTGATACATTATAAAATCGTTTACTGTTATCTGAATTCCTCGATATTTTTTATATTAAATTTGATGCATCTTAATTGAATTTGCATTAAAAGAACGTTACAGTATATTGATCGAACAACAAATTAATAAACATTAAACCTGCCTTCCTCAGTTCAAAAGACTTTTTAATGAAGAGACCCAACTCGTGCAGAAATTGTATAGGTATATGACTAAGTGTTGCTGACCAGTGTTTCGAATACCGGTATTGGGTTTTTTTGCGATCTTGGACAACAGTTTAGGCCGTGGCACTTAACGACATCTATGTTGCTCTCAATACTGGTCAATAACTGTGTACTGTATAATATGACCAGAAAGGTCATTTGCTATTCGTTGTTAAATCGGTGAGGCTGATTTCCTAAAAGCAACAAGTTTATATGTTAGCGTAATACATGATCATGTTTATGTCACTGCTATATGCAGTATTATTGCAAGCTATATCCAGTGTTTGATATACCGTATATGCTATATAAGATATCTTCAATATGAACGGAATGATATCTCTCATAAACTATATGCGTAATATAAAAGATATCTTACTAGTATATAATATGTAAGATATCTCATTCAATTTTATATACAAGATATCTTATATAATTCATACGATATTATATAAGGTATCTGATATATTACTCCAGATATTTCTTATAATAATTAAATAAGATATATGTCGTACATGATATTACATATAGTATATGATATGTCAAATATACCATAAAAGATATGTTATAATATATGATATTGTATATAAATATAGAAGACTTAACTGATATGAGATATCTTTTATAAATTAATGAAATACTTGACCGGTATTCCTCCCAACGTTTGCTAGTAAGCTTGATGATGTTTTATGCATGGTGTTTTTAGAAGCAATTATTACATTTACTTATTATTATAATCTTATTATTGTCATATATCAACCTTCTTTCATACGCATGGACATATGTCTGTTTGTTTACTGTCATATTGTATACTGCGTGTCGTTATCTAATAATTGTTTTGATTCTGATGTACATATAAACATGGCGTATATGTTTGTATGTTTCAAATACCATGCAATGAGTAAGGATGATTCAATAATTTAAATCTGATGATTTCAGTTGATGGCGGTAGTGGACGTCAAATTTTCATAGTTAAGAATCTGTTCATCTGAAGCCAAAACTCATAACAAAACGAATCATTATATAATTATTATATATATAAGTATTTTTCGTAATTATATCTTATGTTTTCGTTTGGTTCCTATTTGGTTCCCGATGTCAAAAACGCGTTCCTGTTGGTTTTATGATGTGTCCAAGCTCTGAAATAGTTATTTTGTTATTTACACACATATTTTACAGCAGATACATGTCTTAACCTGATTGAAATTTATGCATTTGTTGATAACACGCAGGCTACTTATGCCTTTTAAGAATGATCATACGACTTAGTCGTGTTTAAGCACTTTATTCCTAACATTTAACACAGAAACAACATTGTCCTATATAGATACGTAATCGTCAATTTATATATAATTAACGACATATAATCAATTACTTTTTCACATTGCATTTATAGATTGGCAGTTTTACTTCGACACGTTATCACCTAATTTATCTGCAAACCTTGATGACCTGGCAGCCTATTTGGATCTTCCAAGTGACCAATTGGTCAGTATCAGAAAAGGATACAACACGGAGCACGAAAGATGTTTCCATGTTTTGTGGTCATGGCTCCAGAAAAGTTCTGTCAGAAATGATACAGAAAGGCTTAAACATTTGCGCGATGCCTTAAAAGCGGCCGGGAGAAATGCTTTAGCCGAGGAAGATATCCCGACTAGAAATATGTACGAATACAAAGGAAATGTCCACGACAAAGAGAAAAAAATCCAGAATGGTAGAGAAGCTCTGAAAATAGCAAAAGGAGTTGGAGATAATAGTGCCCGGCTTGGGAGATATTTCAATTTGAAAGAGGAGGATATTGCACGCATTGTCAGCAATACCCATGGCGATGCAGTGAAACAAGGACAACAGATCGTAGAGGCGTGTATAAATCAAAACCTTCTTAATACCCGCCAATATCTCTGTGATGGTCTGAACTATATAGGGAACATATTGCTGATCAACGAAATGAACGAATACTGGGGTTAAACTTTGTATCGTTCACAAAGGGGACAAATTAGGAAAAACACATGTTGATCGAAATAAGGTAAAAACTATCAGGGATCCAGAAACAAACTATCAAACTTGATATATATGCATGCGTTTCCTTTATAAAAAGTAAAATGGAAAGCAATTTCAATGATAGCTCACCAAAACGCTTTGTGTAAAAAAGAAAAACAGTCAATTGATATTAATGGAGATCATTTTGATTAAAAAGGTTAAATTGTAAATTATTGTCTTGTGATTTTTTTAAATTGCTACCATGCCTTTGTTTATGATGTTTACGATCATCCGAAACTATAAAAGACTAATATTTGGGCACATGGGTAGGTAACATGAAAAATGTAATAACAGGTCAAGCGTCCTTTAAATGTGGCTTTATATATTAAATCTGTCACCTTAACCTAAAATGACACATGTGTAAGATTCACACAAATGAACTAAACCAAAAAATGTCCAGTTGCTACCTCTTTTTTGGGAATAATTTTATACTGATTGCCATGTTTATGTCATTCCTCTCCGGTAATTAGAAAAAAACCAAATATAGTATTTGCTAAGTTAGTCAAAATTCATTGCAATCGGTGCAAAGATGTTCAGACACCAAAACAAACGATAGATAGAACATGGTGACGAAGTATAAGAGGCAAAGGTTAAAACACAAGTCACCACCCTTTAGATGATACATGGGCTGGCATATGACATCAATTATACATTATAATGATATCAAAGTTTTGCTTTTTACATAAACAATGTACATATAAAACGTGTCGCAACGTTTCAAGATCGACTGGTCCTTTTGTCAAGCTATGACTGAGTGAGCGATTTGTATTATTTACCTGTACAACGATGTGACGAAATTGTTTATTTTTCATGTCACTCTACCCGAGACATTTCGCCTTTCGATAGGGAGCGTATATAGGTTACAGGTAGGGTGTATATCTCGCCCCTCCCCTGTCATGTCAGTATCGGGTCTCAGCTGGTGTCCCCCTCGTCTCTGTTCATGTTCTGAGTTTTCCTGATTTTTATTGCTTCATGATTTGTCTCATGTTTGTGTGTTGTTCCCTTTTAACTACCTTGGTATTGTCCCATTGTACTGGGTGGCGGATGTTTTGCGTGTGGATCTGGTGAATGTGATGTTGCTCTTTTTCTCTACGTCCTTTTGATGTCCCTCCAGACGTGTACCAAATTTTCTCCCAGTACTTATATATGACTGCTGACAGTAACTGTCTGAGGGTTGTCAGTGGTATCGTTTGGGTGCTGAAAAGTGTTTCCTCTTCACCCGTGCAAACGCCTCAGATGTTCCCTTCACGTAGGGTATAGTGACCCAGCCAGTGGTAGCCACAACGGTTGAGCGTCTTTTATGTGTTGTTCTTCCCTGTGTCTATCGTCCGGCTCTGTGATGATGTTATTGCATTTGTCGAGGGCGATAGGCGAAATTTCTCGGCTCGACTGACATGAAAATTATACAATTTCTATATCTAAAGTATACTGAGGGTATTGTTGAGGCCTGCATTAAGATTGTGGCAGGGTCAAAATCTTAATAGTGTATATAGTAAGTTTTAATTCTTAGTGTTGTATTATTTTATTAGCATCAATTAGTATCGTCATCAGCTAATCATTTTACCTTTCACCAATCACAATGTGTAGTCCAAGTATTGACCATGTATATGTCATTGTGTGTGTATTTACCTGTATCTAGAGTGATCTGAAAGGTGCGTGTGTGAGTGGTGGTTAGCCCACTTTACCTGTATAGGTATATACAGGTAAGCATATACCTCTATAAGTGGAACCTTCTAATTGGTCACCTGACATTATATGATGATACCATTGGTTGAGATTTTGACCTAAACATTTTTGTATTGGTCCTCGTTTTCCCTCCACATTTTGTCTGTAAGAAAGATATACATCTTTGTGTGATTTGGTAGTTTCGAGTCAGATCTTGGAGAAGCCACTTGAGCTTAGCATTAATATTCTACCATTTCTGCTGGACCTGGACATGGCTTCATACTCCTGTACGTTTCTATTTTTCTTCTCTTTTAACATATAGTTTGTATAATGTTGTAAACTATGTAATTGCTACTTTTTGAATGTAATTGAGTCTGACAAAATGTTGGAAGACTGAAAGTTGAATTTAAAGTAATGCAAATCTGTTGTAAAAAAGCCCTCGTAGGGACCCAGGATGTACGTCATGAGTTCACACTAAAATGATAAAGAAACTACATTATTCCCTTATGTGACCAGGAAGGATCCAGTTATCATCGGACACATCCAGTTATTATCCGGATACATCCAGTTAGCATCCGGACACATTCAGTTAACATCCGGACACATCCAGTTAACATCCGGATACATCCAGTTAACATCCGGATACATCCAGTTAACATCCGGATACATCCAGTTACAGTGGCGATGGTAACTGGGCTGGTTTAGTTCCCAGTGAATGTTTGAAGAACTCACAAGGCTGTACAAATCAGTTCATGTTTATTCTTGCACTTATATCATCAAATTCCATGAACCAATATCTGTCTGTTTCATCTTTTACATGTATATCCTGAATTCTGTAACAGATACAAATAAGACACATTTAGATGATACACATATCCCTTACATCTATACTTACACCTATACTTGCATGTATACATACATTATCATACATGCATTACATACATACGTACATATGACCCTATTAATTCAATGTTACTTCAAATAATCTATGAAACCATATCATTCTAACAATACACAATATGTTAGATTTTTTAACCTTTACACAATATAAATACAGTCTAAGGGGAGATAATCTACCATCAGCATTACATTTAACATTAACTTGAATGATACTCAAAATACAAACTTCGCAATAATACATAGATATATGTGTACCTGGCTATGGGCCGAATTCCTAGACTCTTCCAATTGTAATCAATATTCAGTCGACCCAGGGTCCTATGCATAAATAAAACACTACATGTTACAATGGTTCTAATTACTCTTAAAACAACTTCACCAAAATAAAACCATTATAAGTACCAAGATATCAAGTGGCTTCTCCAAGATCTGACTCGAAAGTACCAAATCACACCAAGGAATATCTTTCTTACAGACAAAAAGTGGAGGAAAAACGAGGACCAATACAAACATGTTTAGTTCAAAATCTCAACCAATGGTATCATCATCTTATGTCATCTTATGTGACCAATTAGAAGGTTCCACTTATAGAGGTATATGCTTACTTGTATATACCTATACAGGTAAAGTGGGCTCACCACCTCTCATACACGCTCACCTTTCAGATCACTCTAGCTACAGGTAAATACACACACAATGACATATACATGGACAATATTTGGACAACACATTGTGATTGGTGAAAGGTAAAATGATGTGCTGATGATGATACTAATTGATGCTAATAAAATAATACAACATTTAGAATTAAAACTTACTATATACACTCTTAAGATTTTGACCCTGCCACAAGATATTTTACTGATTTACATTAAATAATTTCATATAGGAAAACAATAAACAACGAAAATAACACCTTTCGAGAGCAAGCTTGGCAAAAGTAAACATGAATATTTACAGTGAAAAGTATAAATGATAAATAAATGAAAAATGATTTGGTTTAAGTAGAAATATTGTTGGAATGCTTTGTGAATATCAAATTTGAAATCCACCGTTCACGGTACCGAGTGTTACTTACGGACTTATGTGTGTTTATACTATTTTGATAAATACCGTACTGTATATCAAAATTTAACGTATGAACGTTAATTTTATGACTCTATATATGTACTCTAGCTTTTATTATTCCGTCTACAAATATAGAGAGGTTGTTATTAGGACATTTATCTGCTTTTTATTCCGACCACATACCCCTACAACCCGATATACGTGGTAGCGACAATGCCAATAATATCATAATCACAATTCACAAATATTAGATATCCCGACAATCAAAAGGAGAGGTTGTACATATTACTATTATACTTAAAGCACTAATGTTTATAAACACGCCTTTACGCCGATTTCTAATTTAAATCTCGGCTACAGGCCAGGCGAAAGGATACGTTTAAACAGTTTTTATATAATTCAAAAATAAATAAACCCATGTATAATTTTTGTTCTTTGTCTTGGATTTTATACATGTTACCTATAATTGTAAATGTCTTTTGTGACATGCTTGAGTTCTCTCCCCTTGCTCGGCTCCAATGTCCACTTTCAAGTTTGTCTTGAAACGGAATACCTCGAAAATGTCACTGTGTGCATTATTACTTAATAATATACTTACCTAACTATCTATACTCGTCCAATAGATAAACCTTTGTTAGGACCCGTGACCTATATTTTGCATCATGCTCTCTGAATTGCCTACATACTGCCTATATCTACGAATTATATTTGAAGTATATTTTTGATTTTCCCTCTTGGTGCCTCTTTCAAGGAAAGAGTGACCAAACCTCAATTCCCGGAACAGTAAAGAAAGACGTACAGTTCTATTTTCAAGCACAATTCTACGAAGAATATTTAGGGCATCATATTACCTTAGGTTACCCCGATATATAATATCGACTTTCACATATATCAAATGATCGTTTATATATGTCAACGTTTTAGATTATCAGTTAATAATTTGACATCAATGAAAATGTCAGTTTGGCATTCTTAAGTGGGATACAAATCTTTATCAGGTAAATTGATTTAGATAGTATAACATATTTACATTCCACCTTTGTTTACCAAGCAATACCAACACCCATGTTTGTTTGTTTTAGTTGTTGTCCCGCAATCCTGACAGTAACGCTTGTACCAAAGGTCCAAAGTACACTGGATTTAGTATAATATTTAAAGGACCAGATCGATTTGAAAAGCCGTTTGTCATTTTATTGTAAAATATAATCTAAAACGAGGTAAATCAAATATATCAGATCCATCACCAAATGCTGGTGTAGCTATGAATCGCTCCAATTACGCATACAAAGCATGTGTTAACTACACACATACTATCTATATATGATCACAGAAACGTACGAGGACATACACAAACGAATTACACATAGAATATCTAACCTTGTAATTGTGCGTAACGCGAACTGCACCCAGAAACTATTTATAGAAGCGAATGATAGTTAAAGACGGGGATCTACAAAAGTATGTGTACGTTTAGTTTTAGTATATATTGATGGAAAAACGTATTTTTCCTGGTTGTGTCTCTCTATAAATCGGACCTTTCGATGAGATATTTTTGTTATCAATGAGTTGTGAAGGAAGATACGGGTGCCTATTACTCTGTTGCTGATATACACCACGTGACCCCTATTCAAATTCGTGGAAACTTCGCAATGTAAAACTAACCCTAAGAGGATATGCTACAAAGTAAGTACGTGTTTCCAGAAGGTTACAGGGATATTTATAGATGAGAACTACACTGTATATTTATATTCATTCCACTGTCTGTAAAGGCTGTTGTCTAACAATCTGTCCATAGAAACATGATACATATGTACGTGTCTGTGTGTGACCTACATAGCAAGCAGGAAGCAGTTCCATAACAAGGTTTATTATACATACATGTATAACATTAACATTGAATTGAAATGTTGGATCTATCGTTGTTTATGTATTATCCAGTTATACACAGTTCTATTGGTCCATTTTACTGACATACTGAGCAGTATTGTCTTGTGTATATGACCATATAATAATGTTGATTTCCTGTCCTAGGTAATTCCATAATGACAGATACCGAAGAGGTTCCCATAGAAGTAATTGAGTTACACAATCATATGGTTGATAAACTTGGAAGTGAAATAGGACAAGAAGATGACAGATTCCATCGATTAATCAATCTGTTTGATAGAATTCCTCTCCAACCCACAGATAAACATGAAATTAAAAACATGTCAGATCTTATTGGGATACTTATGAATTACACAACGATCAAATACGGAGAGTATAAGGCATTAACTGATAAGCTGGAGATAACTCATAAACGAATGAAGTCGTTGGTCATTGAATATGTTAAGAAAATGGACATTGCCTGGAGGCGAGCCAGGGGAGAGAACTCCAGCATGTCACACAAGACATTTACAGGTAAGGCATATATATATATTGGTCAAAGAAGTATTATCAAACTTCCCAAATAACACTGGATCCTTGCAAAAGTATTTTTGTAGGATAAGAGCGACTTAATTTAATTGCTATGGGAGCAAGGAAGTAAGCATACCAATGTAGACAAAGCTGTTCCTTTTTTAAGACACAAAAAACACAAAGCAATTACATTATATATATAAATTTATATTCTCTATATTAAATTTAAACTTGAGACTATATGACCCTTGACAAAGAGTTGTCATCAACATTTTAACTACTTTAATAAGGTCCCACACGTTTCTATTGATATTCATTTCTATTATATTTACTTGAAAAAAAAAGCAAATTGTATAACTTATTAAACAGCCTTATTAGTGATATATTATGCATGGATAAACATATCTTTGAGAATTTACATTAATATATGTAAAATACATTGTTCGAGTTAGGAGCATGGCTATTAATTTGTGTTTTAATAGAATGCTTACAATCAAATTGAAATACCGTGACTTATTTGATCAAGGCAAAAATATACCCTCATAACAATACACACGTTCTATATCATATTGTTATAGTCAGTTGTGTACGATCTATAACATGATCTGTGATCTCACTATGGTACTGTGATAAAATATTGATATCCCGATACAGATCAAGCCACAGCATATGGTGGGAGCAGACAGAAACCTGGTGTACAGGCTGTTCAGGGTACGAACGAACATCCCAAAACTGATAGAGGTATGACTGTAATGTAGTATAATTAAAGAGTGTTTTGTTAGACATTCTTACCTACTCCTCCTTAAGACAAGCATATCGTAAAAAGTACGAATTAGACATCAAGACAACCGAAATAAAATAAAACTTTTTTCCTTTCAACAAAGAGAGGGAAAAACCAAGTAGTCTTTAAGGGTAGACATTCATTACACTACATGTGGCACTCGTCACGATGTTTAGCCAAATCTAAAAGGTCAACAATGATCTTAGACATATGGACGAGGATTTCATCATGAAAGACAATAAAGACTCGTTGGTGTCTCTGATGCATTAGTTATATAAGTTTATACAGCCGTGTAGACCTGACAGAGGATGGACATGATAGGTTGTCACTTTACATACTAAATAAAGTTGATGTATTGGTATATATCTAAAACTACTGAAACAATAAAGCAAAGTGGAATGACCTCAACCATCGCTCTATAACACAATGCTGGACTATGTATTATAAACAACAATCACTTACCATTTGAAGATTTGGTATTTACTTCACATCACGGTGTCGTATCCACCAAAGCCAGATAATAAAGAATTGATTGATCATTTTCCATTGGGCAATGCTGAATTAACTGCAGGGCCAGGACAGTGCGAAAGTATGTTATATTTTATGTTTTGTTAACAGCATTGGTATATTTTTGCATGGTTTGACACTTCTACATCTAAGTCATATCCTGTAAATATCTAATTATAGTCACAATCAGCTAATAACATGTAAATGACGAAATGGTTTGGTTTATTTATTGCAGAGTGGCGGTTTTATCTGGATTGGATATCGGATAAATTAACCACTGAAATAAGCACAGTTGCAACCTATCTACGCGTTTCATCAGATAAGCAGACGCAAATTCATAAAGATAACAACATTCAACATGAAAAATGCTTCCAAATTTTATGGGAATGGTATAGGAAAGCACAAGAAACAAATAAAATAGAGGTCTTAAAGGATGCGCTGATCTCGGCTGATAGAAAGGATATCACAGACTACGATATACCCCAAACAACAAGGTTCACTGGCGATATCCCATCCCCAGAAACACCAGTGACTGCAATCGACTTGCAGAATGTGTCTAAACACATCGGAACTGATTATCCTTCTTTGGCGCGGTATTTTGGAATTGACGAGGCTGACATACATGCGTCAAAGCATGACAAAGAGAGAATACAGGAGCAGGCCAGGGACGTACTTCAAAAATGTACCAATCAAACGCTGTTAAAAACACGTCAACAACTATGTGATGGTCTATGTTACAAAGAACGCAAAGACATCACCGATATACTGATAAAGGGATGGCAAGTTGCTAAATGAGCCAAAACCAGCGGCATATTGATTTTAAACCTAATACGTTCTCACTTTTGCCAGCGTATTCAAATGTTCTTAAGTTTAAACCATCACAGTGTCAATGAAATTATTTACTTTTGCACGTCCAAATCTTAGGTTCCTATACAACTGTGCAATCGCTCTGAATACGAAAACTGCGGCATTTCATTGACAAATACCTTATTATTGTAGCCAGTGCTCGCCAAGTCTTTCTGCAAAGGTTATGAAGGATGGGAATGGAACAACATGGTGTGTCAGTGCAATCTGATCATAGACTTCAGTGAGTAATATCCCGTGTCTCAACTGGTATTTACCTGTCAAAGTTACGTAAAGCGTATACACCATTCAGAAGATCGTATGCATGCCTTCACGAGCTAACTAATTTATACTAATTACATTTTGTATGTCGTAACACCTTTATACTCTTCGGACACGTATCTGTAATGTTATCGGAAGGGACGTGGCCACTACACTTTTATTGTGTTTCTGAGTCTCCATATGGCCTGAATAATCTGAAAAGACCATGTTTGCAGCATGATATCGTCAGTGTTCGGGACTTCCATCTACTAATAACTTGGTCATTACATTTTTATGGTGTATCCGAGTCTCGCTATGAACTGGTTTAATAAGCAAAGACCAAGTTTTCAGCATGATTTCTTTCACGTTTTTGTGACTTCCACCAACAAATAACATCAAAACAAGTGGTATACAATACAATGTGGATGTGTCCCAACTCGCTATAAAACTATCTACTAAGTGTATTATACAATTTGGTTAGCTTATAAATGAATTTTGCAGTTAAAATAAGATAATAAAAGAAGAAAAACATAATTGAATAAAAAAATATGTGTCTCTTTATTAGGTGTGTACAACAATGTGTACATAATTGTGACATTATATAGCTGATCGTAGCTCTACATCATACAAAATATCGATATGACCAGGTGTTCCTGGTGTTATAGCGTTGACGCAAAGGCGTTCCAAAAGACTGAAATGTCGCTGTAGTTTTTTCTACTCTCCCGCAGGCTTAGCGTCGAAATTACAACACATAAGCGCAGCTTAGATGCAATCAAAGTGCGCATCCTAGCGGAGAGCAATGGTACTAAAGCAGGTATTTCAGTCATCCATTCCAATGTCTTTATATTATTTATTTGAATTTATTGTACAAATCCTTCGGTTTATAACATGCAGGTTGCTGGCCGGGTTTTATGTACCACGCAGCTATATCACCATAGATACGGCGGTATTTGTTCTCGTTGTGAAGACGCTGACAAAGGTCGCATATCCCTTTATTCCAACTGTTCAGTATTCCCTCAGTATAGAAATATTTCCGCCATCTAAAAAACTTCTGATATGCAGCCATGTTTGAATTAAGACCAGACAGATATATACCGAGATGTACTGCAGACCGGAATTTCTTTGTATCGATGGTCGAACCTGGTGGATGGTATAGCGAACGATTAGCGCCATCCCGTACAACAGGCACAATGTTATACCGCAAAACCAAATTCAACGACTTCTCTGTAACGTAATCCCGACATAGCGCGTTCTCCAACGACAGATAAAATTTGTAAGTTGGTACAGTTGCTGAGAAACATTTGTTTTTGTGGTTCTGGGTGATGTTCCATGATGTCTTGTGTCTATTTTTGCCGTAACATTTCCGTTCACCACATTTTCCATAAATGTCAACGTGTATACCACTTCTTTTAATTTGTTCGACATACTCCATACGCCTTGAAGGTGTCCCACAGTGACTTATGAAGCCTACGGCAACTTTACTCCGTACTTTTGATTTCAGTTGAAGCATGAAATCATCGTCCAGGACCTGCGACCTTTTAACAAATCTTCCGTGTGGAATGTGAAAATCAGAATCCCGTCTATAGGTAAATGTCCAGTTGATCTTCCCCATGAACTTATTTAGTACATCTTTGTCTGCAAAATTTTCTGGTGCTTCGAATTCGGAGAAAATCCATACCTGTCCCAAACGTTTTTCAGGAACATTAGGTAGTGTATGCATATTGAAGAAAACTGCATCACTGGCCGCTAGTTTGGTCACATCTTTGGTAAGGGTACAGTCTTGTACAGAACAGTTCTGGAATACGGCTGAGCTATCTGTCCTACCCTCCATCCAGTCGTTCCACCAGTGCAGAGGATTATAGAATAGGATCAATTTCTTTTTAGCTTGTTTGTTTGGAGCACGAACCATGGCTCCAGTATTCCTACATGTGTTACATCCATTTCTATGTTGAGTCTCGTTTTCATGTCCGGTTCTGACGTGAGTTATTCCCGCAGCAAAGTGTGACGTCATGGACAGTCGTACGTTATACACTATGTACGTCATCATGATTACGGTAACCATTAACAGGACGTAACATCCCCTCAGGAGGTATTTTGTACTGGTATGCTGCAAAAGAATAAGGTGTCATTGTATGATACGAATGTTAGGAACAACCTACTTGCATATATAACTTATAATGCCGTTAGCGTGAAATATAAAATATGGAGAAACCTAATATGGGTTGACATTGCTCAAAATCTCTATATCTACATATCTATAACATCAATCAACAATATATACTTAATAGATGATTCAATTTAATTTAATTCTCAAATGTCATCGTCTTCTTGTCTGGTTGTTGTCTTCATATTATATTCGTGTTAATTGCTGAGGTGGTATTCAGAAACCATTTACAAGCACCAAAATTTGTTCTATGTTCAAGCAAACTTTTAACATAAAACATTATTTACAACATGAAGCAAACTTTAACGTAAAACATCGCAAGGTAAAATAAATTAAAGGAGACATAATAACATACTACGTGAAATACACTAAAATTTAAATCAAAATATAAAATCAGACATAATATAATGTCAAATACATGTACATTGTACTCATGAAATAAACCAAAACGTGAAACACTATAGAATGAAACAACCATGAAATGCAACATGACGTGAAACACTGTAACGTGAATAACTTGACTGCGTGAAACAATACCACACAAAGTAGAGTTTGCAAGCCAACATGACGTGAAACAAACCATAACGTGAAACATATAATACAAAAACGTTAAATACATTTTAACATGAAACAGACTATAATGACCTTACCGTTGACATTCTGATAACATCGATTTCATTTAGGTCCTATGCAATTCCGCTAGTTTGTTCCATTCAAATGATTTGTTGACGTACTGCAATATTCGTTATGTCGTGTTGACAGAAATATAACGCCGTACTTTTAGTATCCCTCGATATGAAAACTAAAACATCCTTGTTGACCACCAAGAAAGATATTTTGCATGTAATTAGAGGTCGAAGTATCGAACTGACAATTTATTTTAAATGGCTAACTGGCAGGGTATTCCCTTACACAGGATATCAGTCTGTTCATTATCAGATCCCTGTAATGTATTAACGCCACGGTCGCATTGTGTATATCTTCCAGACCATGCTGTTCTGTGTCTTTAGTTAACTAGTTGTATATACACTATATATGTTTTTAAATAACTTTATTTCTTGTGGCTTAAAAACAAAGCTTTTGTTACTGGTTTGATTTGGTTTTGTTAATCTTGTTATTTCACGTGGGAACTCTGTGTGACGCTCAACTTTAAATGGACAGCGTAGAGGACTGGTTAACCCCTTACCGGTATAATTTGACCGGGAGGAATGCTGTGCTGGGTACCTTTGGCATGGTATTTCAGTGAGGTAGCACTTTAAAGTCAGCATCAGATTCGATATCATAATGAGGCGACACACCCTCATACCACATCCAGCACACAACATACATTACACAAATAGCAGCACGATTTTAAATGACTTTGGATGTTAATATGCTAGGACGTTAAAATCATTCAATTCAAACCAAACCAAAGCCTTGTGTCTGAAATAATGGCGGGTAATTTCAATTCAAAAGTTAATATCGAAACAAAATGGTATATTGCGCAAATATATATCAATATGAAGTTACTTAGGCTTGCTATAGGCGATTGAGTTTCTCCTGTGGTTAAGCCATTGCTACAGGCAGCTTTGGTTCAATTCCAGGTGAGAGTTTGGGTCTTTCAAAAGAACTTTGAAACATGTTGTACTTTTGCTTGTCCTTAGAGACGAAGGTAAGACACACCGCACTCGTGAGATTGAACCTGTACAATTTGGTACTTGATAACGCATGTCAAAAATAAATTACACTGCATCACACAGATGTTAAGTCTTTCTAAAACTAGAGTAGTGACAACGCAACAACAAGGCAAACTTATTAGCAAGGTCCAAATCATCAATCTTTATATCACACAAAAAAGAGCTTACTTCCGAATGAGATCACGCCGGCGACCATAACTTGTGCATGGTCTTCATCGACCTGCATCTCTTGAAAACCTTTGTTGTACTTTTGCTTGTCTGCAGTCGACATCCATCGCAGAACACGTGATATTCGTAGCAAGCTTTTTAAATATCGAATCAACTTAACAAGTTAATCACTGTGAGTTTGTGATGCAGGGGTGTTACTATCAACAAAAGGAAAGTCGCTATCGTAAAATCGAAACAGTCACGCTTTTCATGCAAATGATAGAAAGCCGACCCTGTTGGTAATGTTGTTAGTAAAGATTGGGGGAAGCAGTTGATTAAGAAGAGTCTGCAATGTCCTAAATTTCAAGATAAGGAGCATTTGTTTGGTTTGGTTTTATAGGGTTAAATGTCCTATCAACAGCTAAGAAGTAGGGTATATATACGATCGACGCAGTCAATAAGTTACAGTCAGCATATCACTGATATATCGTAATCCCGTTGGAATTAATATTATTGTTGGCATATGGTAATAAAATGATTTTGTCTATGTTCCGGTTTATAAAAACTTATCAGTGATATAAGAAGCCAAAATGGTGAAGTTGAGCAAAATGGGAGATAAAAACAAAATACATATAACTAAACAAGTAAAATAATAAGGCAGGGATTTACCCGGAAATCACTGAAAACGCACAAGAATAAGACAAGATATGTCGGCAAGATTTTAAGCGAATTTTACTAATCGTCGAAAACTGGATAAAATGGAAGTGAAGTAGTAGTATGTCCAAAAAAGAGAAAGTCGGGGTAATAACAAAAAAACACAAGGCACTAATGTAACATAATCAAAACATTGATAACCATATCGCACAACGACATAAAATATTTTGTTTTGGTATCATTTTACAATTAAATATTTTCTTATGGTATCACTTTACAATTAAATATTTTCTTATGGTATCACTTTACAATTGAATCTTTTCTTATGGTATCGCTACAATTGAATCTTTTCTCATGGTATCACTTAACAGTTGAGTATTTTCTTATGGTATCACTTTACAATCGAATATTTTCTTATGGTATCACTTTACAATTGAATATTATCACTTAACAATTGAATATTTTTTATGGTATCATTTTACAATTGTATCTATTCTTATGGTATCACTTTACAATTGAATCTGTTCTTATGATATCACTTTACAATTGAATCTGTTCTTATGGTATCACTTTACAATTGAATCTGTTCTTATGGTATCACTTTACAATTGAATCTGTTCTTATGATATCACTTTACAATTGAATCTGTTCTTATGGTATCACTTTACAATTGAATATTATCACTTTATGATTGAATCTGTTCTTATGGTATCACTTTACAATTGAATATTTTCTTATGGTATCACTTTACAATTGAATATTATCACTTTACAATTGAATATTTTCTTATGGTATCGCTTTTCAATTGAATCTGTTCTGATGGTATCACTTTACAATTGAATCTTTTCTTATTGTATCACTTTGCAATTGAATCTGTTCTTATGGTATCACTTTACAATTGAATCTGTTCTTATGGTATCACTTTACAATTGAATATTATCACTTTACAATTGAATATTTTCTTATGGTATCGCTTTTCAATTGAATCTGTTCTTATGGTATCACTTTACAATTGAATCTTTTCTTATTGTATCACTTTGCAATTGAATCTGTTCTTATGGTATCACTTTACAATTGAATCTGTTCTTATGGTATCACTTTACAATTGAATATTATCACTTTACAATTGAATATTTTCTTATGGTATCGCTTTTCAATTGAATCTGTTCTTATGGTATCACTTCACAATTGAATCTTTTCTTATTGTGTCACTTTACAATTGAATATTATCACTTTATGATTGAATATTTTCTTATGGTATCATTTTACAATTGAATATTATCACTTTACAATTGAATAATTCCTTATGGTTTCACTTTACAATTGAATATTTTCTTATGATATCACTTTACAATCAAATATTTTCTGATGGTAAAACTTTACAATCGAATATTTTCTTATGGTATCGCTTTTCAATTGAATCTGTTCTTATGGTATCACTTTACAATTGAGTCTTTTCTTATTGTATCACTTTGCAATTGAATCTGTTCTTATGGTATCACTTTACAATTGAATCTGTTCTTATGGTATCCCTTTACAATTGAATATTATCACTTTACAATTGAATATTTTCTTATGGTATTGCTTTTCAATTGAATCTGTTCTTATGGTATCACTTTACAATTGAATATTTTCTTATTGTGTCACTTTACAATTGAATATTATCACTTTATGATTGAATATTTTCTTATGGTATCACTTTACAATTGAATATTATCACTTTACAATTGAATAATTCCTTATGGTATCACTTTACAATTGAATATTTTCTTATGATATCACTTTACAATCAAATATTTTCTGATGGTAAAACTTTACAATCGAATATTTTCTTATGGTATCACTTTGAAATCGAATATTTTCTTATGGTATCACTTTACAATTGAATATTTTTTTATGGTACCACTTTACAATTGAATATTTTCTTATGGTATCAATTTACAATTGATTTTTTTCTTATGGTATCACTTTACCCCAAAGAACTGAACAATAACTTTGACAATTAAATTGTTGACATTACAAGTTAATATTAAATTATATTTACCCTCACTTCAAAGTTTTCTGGATTAATGTAGCATGTCGACGTTACACTACAATTGACATTATATACAAAAGACATTTGTGTTGAAGACCATTAACATTCGTCACCGTGGCCTGATACCCAACTGCCTGCATGACTTAAGACTTGCGCCATGTATATAGGATCATTGTCAACCTGGCCCCTGCAGATTGAAGGAAAGAACACACCTGTTTTAACTCGTACAGGTAAGAGGCGACTAATGTACATGTGGTGCCACGGTTTTCTTCTGCTTAGGGATTGAGAACATTATTATTGAAATTAATCTCCTGCCCTCATTGCAACACTTGGGAACTAGCTCTTTGCTGACTTCCCTTTTGGTGGTGTTCCCTATGCCCTCCATCTCCATATATATCATGGCTGGTGAATATTTTAAAGCACAAAGATTGCCAATCTGTGTCCTGTATGTTCAGCTACATGACAGAAGTATATCGACCTGCTGTGTTGCATTGCAAGACTTAACAGGCGATTAATGTGAGTCAAACGGCAGGAATGCAGCTTGTCTTGTGTCCACAGTAGAGACAAGTCCGAGTTTCCTCTGGCCCCCACACCAGACATGGACATTTTGACAGATAGATAAATATTTTCTTGTGGGAAGTAATTCTAGCCAAACTGAATGATTTAGGATAGATATGCTTCATCTTCTATATACAATACTCTAAGTAAATCAGGTCTGAAGTGGAACCCTTCACAATGATAACTCCTGGAGTAGTACACTTCATAGTAAGACTTTTATTTTGCTGTTACAACTGTATGTTGGCCTGCGTATACTTCATGATTTGGTGTTACATGATTCTACACTGAATTATAACGAGCTACACACATGATAAAATCAAAACTCTGGTATATCATATTTTAATTAACATATGTAAAACATTTCATGTTCATTAAAAAAAACCTCTTGTTAAAATGCTACGAGGTTACTGAAATGGAAATCAGGGATAATTAGGATACTTTCAGTTAAAATGTAAACAAATCACAAAAAACGTGGAATAATTAACAATAACAATCAGATAAAAATGCAAGAAAACAAGAGTTTCTTATTTTTTAAAGCTTTGTGTCAGTTTTCATATAATCTTTTTTCCATTCATGCAGAAACGATAACTGTCAAAAGGCCGATTAAGAACTTTGCTTTGATGCAATATTACACACAAAAACACTAACTAAATGATATGAAGAATAATTCTGAACTACTTAAATGGTTAACCCTTGCATTGCTCTGCACTGAACAATCAAAACTGCTTCAAAACATCAAAATGATTTTCGATACAAGGTTTTTTATCGAAATGATGATCAAAATGTCTGATATTTGCACCTAACTCTTTTAACTCCTTCACAAAAAGGGTCTGCTCCTCGCCAATCCATGCTCTCATGGGGTCCATCACTTGGTAGGGAGTGACGTGGGTAAACAATTCAAGCTTGTGATAAGCTAACTTCTTCAGTAAGACCCTGTCAGTGATCCATGTGTTGCTTCCCCCATTGTGTCCTCCATCCAACCAATACATGGACTTCACTTTCTTCATAAAGGATTTCACATTCTCATCAATATCTACCATGTGCAGCTCACATATAAACTGGTTCAGGACAACACACCCTTTACTGAATCCAATCAAAATAATGGGCACTTTAGTATCACAGTTCTCTTTATCACAGGAGTTCTTGGGGTCATGGTCTCCTGGTTGGAGTCGGTTTAGTATGTTTGCATAGAGTTTTATCAAATGGGAGAGTCCACCCCAGTCATCTCTATGTGTAGGTGATGACTCACTCTCAGAGAAGTCAACAAAGTTTGAGTATACACTAAATGTGTTTAAATACATAGTTTTGGGTTTCACAACCATTATCATTCCTTCAGGAAAGCGTTGAGAGAGCAACTCTGCAGTGGTCTCAACATTCCACTGAATATACTCCGAGTTAGTAGCTACCATTTTCTCTTTGTAGTCCTGTAAAATAAATAAAGTTTGTTATTGAATATGGTATAAAAAATGTGCATTGATTAGGTTGCCTTACAAGTGTCAGCTGTAGGGAATTTCCCTTTAGCTCAGCAGCAGAGCATCGGGCTGGAGAGCCAAAGGTCGTGGGTTCAAGCCCCAGCGACGGCACTATTTTTATCACTTTTCCTCGTCCTTTTATACATGGTGTAATTATTAACAAGAAGTACTATAGGGAGTTACAGCAGTCACTTTTTATTTGTCCATACCGGTATATCTACCTAGTAATGTCAACTGGATCACACCACTTGCACTGTGTAATGGAATTTATTGATACTTAACAGATGTGTAAAACTAGCCTGAGTTTTCTCTGGTCCTGTCACAATTAAGATTTAGACATTTTGACAAGAGAAATATACACCAGACATCTACAGTATCTGACCATTGTCAAACTATACATTGTTTACTATTACTTTATCTTTATATTTCATCATTACATCAACTACTTTTTGTACAACCACGTTATTTAGACTTGATTAATTAGTTGTCGACATTTGTGAAGTTGTTATCACACTTTTTTTAAAATAATCAATTTTACAGAAGTTAAAATTCATCAAAAAGCTTTGGTTTAACGTATTTGATCGAGGCGTCCAGCCTAATAAACACACACGAAGTCCATACCACCACCATGTTTAATGTACCTGGACATCCCCTCCGAAGTAAATGATATGATGCTTAGCCGTGTCGACAGATCGTCCAGCTACTACCACATCGTTCAATTTATAACGGGAGCCTGACACGCCAATCAGACGCTGACATCGGCAGTGTTGTGTCGCCATGGTTGCTGTCATTCGTCGAAAACCAGTAACTGCAATCGTGCAAGACGCATCACTAAATAAAACCGAAAGTACGGACAACATACACAGAAGATGGGTGTGAACCATGAAAGGTTTGTTTACATACTGACACCGGAAATAAACTCTGTATGTACTGCGCATGTGGTTGTAACATAACACACGTGCTTCCGTCTGAGACGGCGCGTCTAATTACCCAATACTACCCAATACCACCCAATACTACCCAATACTACCCAATACCACCCAATACTACCCAATACTACCCCATACGACCCAGTTATGAACCAAATACTTCTTTATTACTGTGAAATATCACCTTTGTAGACGTTATTTACTTCCATCTGCCATATTTTATCGGGAAATAT